CCCCTCCCTCTCGTTAGCGCCAGGGTAAATTTCAAAATGTCAAAACGCGAAAGTTGCCCGCCGCTAACCGGCAAGATTGCGTCCGTCCCGCTCATAGCAACGTTGCGTGGATAACGTCGACGTGGATAGCGTCGCCACGAGTATCGGCCAGAGTGCGCAAACGTTTGCTTACAAGCCCGCCAAGTTTTTCCATTATCGCGGCCGGGCATTTGCGTGAGAGAATCGATCTCGAAACTTCTCGAAGTCTCGCGCGCGTGCCCCTTCGACCCCTCCCTCGCCCCTGCTTCTGCCGCATCCGTCACATCTGTTATCCTTTAATATCGTCCCCCAAGGACGGCGCGAATGAAGGCGCCGGGCGCAGCGGTTACCCCTTTTTTCACACATCATTCCCGCAATCCTCTTACCAAGTTCTGCGACTCCGCGGTGGGCCGAAGCAATCGGCGACGGCGATAACGTTTCTCCTCTTATTTTTCGCAATTGTTCGCGATCGAAACGCCGCCGTGTTTATCATTCCGTCCGCGCGCGCGAAGCGTAATTTGCCACGAGACGATCCCACGGCCTTCCCCGTCGAGACTTTAAACACACTTCTCGGATAAGCCGCGATATCCGCAGGATAAGACTCGGCTCGATGCGCGCGGCGATACACTCGGATATACCCGCGAGACTTATCGACACTTCAACCGCGCGATGTTTATTAAGTTGTTGATATTTTAAATACGTGCCAAAAAATATCGCTCCGCCCAACGGCAACCTTCAATCGCATCTGTCGAAAAAAAGTGTCGCGTTACTTATTATATTGTTTTAATAGTTTGAAAGGGAGCGTTATGTATATATATATATATACGAAGGTTGATCCAGAAATAAGGTTCCCATCAATTTTACAAATAGACAACATTGTTTATTCTCATAGAAATTTATATCGTTGGAAAGATGAAACTTTGCTCTATTTTTCTTTGACTTCATCGTCGCTCCGGAAGCGTTGGCCACCCAAGTGTTCCTTTAACTTGGGGAACAAGTGATAATGTGAACACTTGGGTGGCCAACGTTTCCGGAGCGACGATGAAGAGGTGAAACGCTTCCTCAACGGGTTGGCGGCGAAGTTCTACGACATTGGGATACAGAAATTGGAGCACCGTCTACAAAAATGCGTAGAAAAAGATGGCGATTATGAAGAAAAATAGAGCAAAGTTTCATCTTTCCAACGATATAAATTTCTATGAGAATAAACAATGTTGTCTATTTGTAAAATTGATGGGAACCTTATTTCTGGATCAACCCTCGTATATATATATATATATATATTTTTTTTTTACAGCATGTATTCTTCTTGTCTCCGAATTTTGATAATAATCGGATTTGTGGCTTGTATCTCGTATTTCGGTGCAAAAGTGTCTTTTCCCCGTCAGTAAACTCGGTTTCTGGACATTAAGGCGAACCTGTCACAATGACAAATTACTCGACGCGTCGTTTCCCCGCTTCTTCGAACAATCAGTAGATGTAACAAGTCCTTGACACGTAGACTCGGAGAATCCTGATAATACATTTATATCGTGTCAGTCGGAAAGTTCGGTTCGACCTCACGATAAATAGTGTATTACATACGTGGGTATCACGTATAATAATACGTAAAATAATACAAAGGGTCTTTGTTTGGCGGTCAAGGCGTAAACACGTGCCGACCGAGTCCGTTAGTGAAGCGCATATTTGTTCGAAGTCGCGATTCCTTCGGTAGTGTCCGGTATATATCGGAATACTTGAATCAGACTTAACCTATATTTTCCAACAAATCACCTAATCGACTATCATAATAAACAGTCTAATTTACTTCCGATAATTTAAGTTTTCGCGGGATGTGGAAAAATACTTAAATTGCATTCCGCGTCCTAAACTTAAATTAGCGCCGCATCCCTTGTGGATTTGTTCCCGACGTTTCGTGAATATTTCAGTTCACCTCTTCGGAGTGAGGAACGACCCGAAGCTGAACTTTACTCCTACCTTGGCTTTGATTCGATTCTACTTTGATCCTAATTTACTACTACTTCGGTCTTGAAGATGTCTTAATATTATGCTTCCCCTGTTTTAGAGTCGAAATAAGTTGTTCAAGCAATAAAATTTAATTTGTAGAATTCAAAGTTCGAAAGAAACTAATAAGCATCAATATATCGTTAAAGTGTGTTTTTATTGGTCTGCAGAATCGAAATTTCAACTCAGGAGAAGAAGGAATACGGTAACGCGGAGAGCAGTGCTGACAACAACTGCTACAACGTTTCTCTGTCGGAATATCGGCGAAGGATTGCCGAGAATGACGGTTATCCGACTGACGTGCAATTCGCTTCCGTTGAATACGATCGAGTCAAACTTGCCACGAAAGTCGAACTGAACTTTTGACCGACTCGACGAATACGTAATCGCGATACTTCGAGCGTGTTCTCTCCACTGCACGGTGATCTGAGAGTAAAAATTTGTGGCCAGAATTCTAAAATCTCGATAAAAACGACGCTTTATATACAGAAAGCGTCTTTAAAGAGGAAAGGTAATTACTTGTAAATGATTCGACGATTTATCTAATTTTTTTTTTTTCCAAATAAATACGAAATAACCCTATTTTCTTAAAAATAGCTTCTCCCAAATGATGCGTCATTTCTTCTTTCGCGGTATCCTTGAATAGAAAAGGGATTGACATAATTTTTAGGAGGCTTTCACGTCATTTAGTCGAACATTTCCCCAGCGCCGTGTCGTTGCACCGGCCATTCATACGGCCGTTATCTCACAGCGAGTCCCCCGTTCATTTCTCCACCTCCGGCGGAGAATTTTAACCTCGCCTCGGCTGGATCCAGAATCCTCGGGTCGCGCGACCTTTCCCCGAGCTCTCGGTCGCGCTGATAGCTCCTCGGAGATTTTTAAGCGTGCGTTATACCGAGCCCCTCCTCCGCCATCTTCTTCCCCGTCGTCTCCCTTTCCCATCCGCGGCGGAGAGAACAACAATTACCTGGAATTTATTCGCGGTACGTACGCGAGTCGGGCCGGCAACGTGAGAAAATCTGCCCGAAACTCTGCCCGCGAGGCCGGTCCACGTCTCACGGGGAAATGAGAACGCGTGGGAGAGCCTCTCTCTGACTACCCACGGGAATCAAGCTTCTCCGGCTTCCCGACGACTCGTAAATTCTTACCTCGTTTAACATTTATGTTATTTATGTCCCTGATGGTAAAAGAAGCCGGAGAAAGAAAACGCTCCTTAAACGCGAATTAACGTGGTTCCTCTCTCTCTCTCTCTCTCTTTCTCTCTCTTCTCACGTGTCACTCGCGTTCGGCGAGACGCGCGCTTATTTATAAGAATATATCTTCCGATAGTCGAGAAATTCTCGATATCCCATGGGCTTTGGCGCGAGATAAACGCGCACGAATCCTTCATCAGCCCGCTGTTGCGGGATAAAATCCCCCCCTGAATTCCGCCGAATATTCCGAACGAATGAGACGGTGGTATATCTCTCCCTCTCACGTCCTTCTACCTGACATGTATCACGAAGATCTCTCCGAACGAAATCTCGAATCTCCCATACACGGGTCTCTCCCCTTCCCCGAAAAAGCCGACAGTACACAGCGCTCCGACAGAGTCAGGGATGCGGAAACACAACGAGCAGAGACGTAATAAAAGTTCATTTTCTCGATGGGCACCAGTGAAGTCGCGGGACGAGGAGACACCTGCCAGAGCAGCAGCCAAATGAAGGCAAACGGCCCCCTGTGATGAATTTACGACGTCGTGTCGGCGACGATTTGTCTCAATGCGCACTCGAAGATCGGGACGGAGCTCGCAGCGCGAACTTGTTAATCCGAAAAGACTGGTTTCGCGGTCAATAGAGGAGCCGATAAAATCAAGCAAACGGCGGCGTATCTCGAATTATGTCTAACGTATTTTTAATAATTCAATTAAGCCGTACAGCGCATAATTTTAATCGCATCTAAAAGGATTAGTCCCACGGGGAACCGATAAAACGAGGAGCGAAAGGTCGATGTATCTACAGCTACATTTACGCGGCATATATTTCCGATTTAATTCAATTGAGACGCATACAACGCATAATTAATCGCGTCGAGAAAGATCGATTTCACTGCGAACGAAGGGCCGACAGAACGATAAAACGATGGCGAATAATAACCCATCTCGAATTACTTGCTCCGATCTTCGACGATTCAATTATCAGTCGAGCTTTTGTACACAATCAACGATAATCCGTGACACGGTAAGCGTAGAACGCGATCTATCGGGTCTCGGAATTGATACTAATAACGCCGGTTGGTGGAACGTCTCGAGAAATGCCGCGGCATCCGATTGGGAATTGAATTTCCCCGACGAATCTACGAACCACGGTCGTCATTATCCGTTCCTTCTCTCGCGGTGATCCAATTTGAATTTTTTACCGGCTGGACAATTGCGAGGGGCGTCGCACGCGAGACGTTGGCCGAAGCTTCATAGAGACTCATCGGCGCGAGTTCCCGAACTTTTTCCCGTTCCCGATGCTCGGATTAAAAGCTTCCATCGTGTGGTAGCGTCTCGTTCACGAGGAATCTCTCATAATTAAAATCATCAGCGAAAACTCACGGAAGTACCTCCTGCGCTCTCCAGCTTTCCACTTAACGAGAATGTCCGGCATTACGCTTTCTCTCTCTCTCTCTCTCTCTCGCTCTCTACAAATTGAGAAGCGTAAATAAATCCCAATTAAGACACCAAGTTTCATTTCGAGCGATTTACTTATTCTATTTGGCACGATTTATTTCGCACTCTTTATCTTGCGCGGCGGTTAATCAGAGAGCAAGGTAAATTCGTTTCACTTTGCTCTCTCTTTCTCTCTCTCTCTTTGCCCACGACCGACCGGCCGACCGACCTTTGGCTTCGACCTAACTGAATCCCGTTCTCATTCATACAGTCGCAGTGGTGGTGGCCTTCTTCATCTGCTGGGCGCCTTTTCACGCCCAGAGGCTGCTGGCCGTATACGCTCAGAACAACAATGAGCCGCCGGAGGACGCCTTGGTGACCGTATACACCACGATCACATACGTGTCGGGGGTGTTGTACTATCTATCCACCACAGTCAACCCGCTCCTCTACAATATCATGTCTAATAAGTTCAGGGAAGCCTTTAAGGTGAGTTCTCTCTCAGACTCTCTCGGAACGGTAACACGGGATTTAATTGATTAATCTTTGATCTCTGTAAGCCGATTTGCCGATCGAGCAATTATGCTCTCGCATGAAAATCCGAGACGCGCCTCTGGTAGTGATCAAAGTAGACAGTTAAAGTAAATATAAAGTGGGTGTATGAATGAAACGTGATCTGAAGTAAATATAAAGTAAGGTTACATGTAACACGATTAAAAATATAATTGAACATATATAATTGCAAGAAGTATGATAAATAATGTAATATAATGTAATTGGTATAATTTAAGTGTGTCGAATTTTTAGCCATACTTCTCTTATCAAATCTTTTATCAAATCTCTTATCAAATCTTTTATCGATAGTAGCGACACATGAAATATTTCATCAAGAAGTTTCCAGTATCTCGTTATCTATTAATTTCTATCAGGCTTTTAGGTAATTACCTGATTCCGCATCTGCAAAAAGGTTTGAGCCAATGAAGTCATCGGCGATCCGATGAACTTTTGCAAATTAATATATAATATATATAATTCATATTTTTTATTAGATCTTTATATTATAAAAAGTTTTACATCATATATTCATATTATATCTTCGAAATATGTTTCTTCCAATATACCTATATATTCGTATTTATTATTATTTATACTACAATTTATATTAGTTTTAATGCATTTTACACAATTTACATACGCAAAAACAAAGTTTGGTTCAATTTACCTGAAGTAAATCAAACGCGTTTCGGTGGAGAGAATTCCTTGTTTTCATTAGTCAAATTTAATTCTGATAACCAAAAAATGCTGTTTTTAAAACCAAATTATATTATACTATTAAATGATGAAATTTCATATAATTATATTCAATTGTATAATTTCATATAATTATATATAATTGTATAAAATTTTACTTCACATAATTATATATATTATTTTTATATCAGGGGAAGTAAACAGAAATAGGTTGCGGACCTGCCTTATACCTTGGACCTACGTCGATTTCGGCTCTTTATCTCGCGAGTTCTCGTTTCGTTAATGTATTAGGTTGGTGCGTATGAAATGTCGCATTCTCTTTACATGCGGACGTTTTCCTCCCTGTTTTCGTTATACTTTTGTATTTGGCATAACCTCATTCATACTCGTATTGTCCATTGCCAGAGACTCATTTCAACAAAATAGGTTTTCTCGAAGGTCTTCCCTTTTTTATTTCTTTTGAGTTTATTACCGATATGAATTCTGCCGACATTCGCGTCATTTTCTTATATGAGTACAAACTTGGTAATAGTGCTGCAAAAGCTGCACGCAACATAAACCAAGCGTTTGGGGAGAATACGGTTAACAATCGGAAAGTGCAGCGTTGGTTCGAAAAATTTCGGACTGGCGATTTTTCACTGCAAAATGAGCCGCGCGGAAGACCCAAAACGTCTGTGAATAATGATGACCTGAAGGCTCTAGTGGAAGCGGATCCAGCCGTATCCACGAGGGAACTTGCTATCAGGATGAAAGTTGACCATACAACGATATTGAGACACCAAATTGTACTCCCATCGCTTGTGAATCGGCATGGCCCGCTACTGCTCCATGACAACGCTCGGCCGCACACATCGCACAAAACAATTGCGAAACTGAACGAACTGGAATATGAAGTTTTGCAGCATCCACCATATTCACCGGATCTCTCGCCGACCGATTTTCATTTTTTCAAGCATTTAGAGCTGTTTTTAAGAGGCAAACACCATGAAAATGAAGACAGTCTAAAAAACTCGATATCAGAGTTTATTAATTCTAAAGACCAAAATTTTTTTAAGACAGGCATCTACGCTTTAAAATCTCGTTGGGAGAAGTGTATTGAAGCGAATGGAGCATACTTTGATTGAATAAACAGCTTTTGAAGAAAGATATACAGTTTTATATAATCACTTAAGAATCCGACATTTCATATGCACCAACCTAATAATAATCCATTGTGTTTACCGCCAGAATTCTTATCTATGGCGAGCCGGAGGACACCTTGGTGATCGTATACACCAAACTCACATACCTGTCGGGGGTGTTCTGCTATCTGTCCATCACCGTCAACCCGCTCCTCTACAATATCATGTCTAACGCCATGGGCCCACATGACCAACCAAGTCGACATGGGTCCAAGGTATACACAGCACCTTCCCCTCTATATATAGATTTTATATAATTGTCTATAATTACATAAAATCATATATATATATATATATATACATATATAATTACACATAATTATACATAATCGCTCGCTGCCTGGAATCTCGACAACTCGGGAACGGCGTCGTGCGGGCGTCCTCTCGCGAATCCGTTCTCCCGACGATTCTCTCTCTCTCTCTCTCTCTCTCTCCTTCGCTCCTTCCTCACCCTTTCGCCCTCTCTCTCGCACACAGTCGATGCTGCCGAAGCGCTGCGTGCGGAAATGCTCGTCGCAGAGGAGCAGCCCCCGGCGGCCGACTTACAGCAGCCTGTCGAGGTGCCAGCGTTCCCTGAAGTACCGCATTGACGATATCCAGCCGTCGCCCTCGATATCCGTGAGCGACGAGCAGCAACGCTCGTCGCATTTCGGCGCACCGGCGAACGCCAACTCCTGCGAGCTGAATGGCCTGGCGTCGCGCGCCGGTGAGACCCGGGCCGTCCACCAGCCGGCGAACAGGGAGATCGGCGGCTACCGGGAATGCGCCAGAAGCATGTCCAGGGGCTCCGACAGTAGTCAGCTCACCATGATGACATCGATAAGCAAACTGAACGAGGCCACCAACAACGTCGGGGCGAACGAGTGCCTGCTGAAGATACACCGTTCCCCGAAAGCTGTTACTTTAGGTAACGTCTGTTTGCGTTCCGGCGACCCCAATCGGTCTACACGAGCTGTTACGACCGTCTCCGACGGCTTCGTATCGTCGGTGACGCCAACGGCGCCAGCTCTCTCTCTCTCTCTCTCTCCTTCTCTTTCTCTTTCGCACGTTTTCGTATTTACCTAATTAATTGACGGCTCCTCAGGACGAGACAAGGGACGGGTGTCTTGGCGCGTTTCCCGCTCTCTTTCTCTCTCCGCACGTACTCGTGTTTACTCACTCTCGAAATGTTATCTCGAGTACGAAGTGTGGAGAAGTAAGTACGGTGTGCGGCCTCGGATGCGATTTACCGAATTAGGGTGCTACATACTACTAGAAGAGCTGTCGAGATGTCGGGACGCTCTCGCTCTCTCGTGTGAAACTTGGGAGATTGATCCGCGGAGACGAGAATGAGAAGATGAAGCGGGAGTGAGGGGGGAGCAAGTTGCGCGTGTGTAATGTCGTACGCGCGATTAGGGGAGACATTGACGCCTGGTCCTGAGGAAGTTCACGAGCGAATTCGTCGGAATGAGAAGCGGGAGATCTCATCCGTGGGGAACGTATGCTCTCAATTTTATCGTTCCGCCGGGAAGCAAGCGCTTCCCACGTGCGCCGTCAGTATAGAGAATTTGCCGAAGAATAGAGATTTTTTTTGTTATATTGCCAAATTTAGCATTTCACGAAATGTTCACGAGATTTCGGCAACGCGTCCGCGAAGGACGCGGCGCTAACTCGAAAAGCAAGAAATTGATGATCTCGCATATCATTATTTATTTACATTATTATTACCATGATATTTCGCAAAAGTTCGCCGGATCGTCGATAATTGGCTCCGAAGATGAGAAACTTCGCGGAGACGCGGAATTAGACGATCGATCAGACAATTATTTAGAAACTGGTAGAAAGAATCAGCAACACTCCCGCTCACGGTGTTATTATCTGGTGATATTCTCAGCACTGTCGCATTTCCAGCAGGGATCCTCACCGAGAGGCTCGGCTTCGGTGCGAAAGGATTCTTCGCGCATCATCGGAAGTTGCCGGCAACCAGCCCGAACGTAGCGCCGGCGATGTCGCCTCGGTTCCGCAGTCACCCGAGCATCGAGAGCGCCAACACGATCAGCAACTCCAGCCTGCAGGACCTCGACGAGACCGAGTTCACCGGATCCGAGCTCGCCCGATACATGGGCGAGCTGAACTTTGACCTCGTCACCTGACATCCGCTCTCGACGAGGGAACGTCGTCTCTCGAATTAGACGTCGCCGGCTCCGAGACTGGACATACTCAACGCGCGATTCCGAATCCTGACTGACTCTCAGCCGTGAGGATCATGACACTCGACTCACTGTCGAGTACTGTCCAGTACTGTCAGGTACTTTCAAGTACTGTCAGGTACTGTCAATTATTCTCAGATATACTGTCAAGTACTGTCAAATACTGACAAGTACTGTTAGGTATTGTCAAGTACTGACAGGTACCGTCAAGTATTGTCAAGTACTGTCAGATACTATGAGTTATTGTCAAGTACTGTCAAATACTGTCAGATATTGTCCAATACTATCAAGTACTGTCAAGTACCGTCGAATATTGTCAAGTACGGTGCGGTCAAAGATGGTATTATGTCCCACGCTTGTGTCCACAACGTGACAGTGTATATGTGTGTGTGTGTGTCGTCATTGTCGAAAGTGTTAAGCAACTTCACATCGTCGAACCTGGACAAGTTTGTTGCTCGTCGCGAACGTATCGCGAATTTTCACACGAACAATGCGGGATACAATTTCGGCGATGCCGAAAGACGATCGTGGCGAATCGTGGCGATTATCACGCTGTCCCTGAAGAACAGTCACTCATGAACTCATCGCGGGTTGAGAAGGGAAAGGTGCTTATTCGAATATTTTGATAATGAAGGAATTTAAATGAATAGCGGCATGCAAAAATTACGGGGGAACCTACAGGAAGTTGTCGTTCGAGTCTTGGGATGAGTCTGAAGGGGGAATACTTACGCGTGTTCAGAATTCTGTGCGAGCATCGGAGCAAGGAGATATTCGAGTAAGAGAGAGAGAGAGAGAGAGAGAGAATTCCTCGTGGATTCCGTGAATTACAACGCGAATAGGACGGTAAGCCCGCGCGCCGTTACTTCATATCCGAAGCAAAGGCGTAATCTTCGCGACTGTAATAGCCGTTTAACCAGTCGTTGATCGTTTTAATCCTCCACGGTGGTCTGAAAGTTAAAATTTCCGGCCAAAATTTTTCATCCTGGTAAAAATGACTTTTCATAGAAAATGTCTATAAAGGGGAAAACTAATTACTAACTATTTGTGCACGTGATTCAACATTTATCTCGAATTTTTTTCAAATAAATACAAATTAATGCAAAATAAATGCAAATTAACTTCTAATCTAACATCTTATGAATAGCTTCTTCCAAAGGGCATTTCTTCTTTTGCGATATTCCCGAATAGGAAGAATGATTCACATCATTTTGGGAGGGACTTCGTATCATTCAGCCGAGTATTTTTATCTTCTGATCCTCTCCAAATCTCATGCAGACGTCCGAGAGGACGCCTTATATGGTTTTAAGAGGCCAGTTATTTTCAAGAGATGCAGAAAGGGGCAAAACGAATATAACGGACCTTGATAGTGTAAAACGTTGACGATTACTACACAACTGTAGTACATTTTTTTTTAAGAAAATTTCTGAAACTATCAAAACTTTTCCAGGCAACATTGGCAAGGAAACATTTTTCCATCCGTAAGGGTTACGTTTGTTTTGACCAAAAATCTCGTTATTATTATCTCGCTTCGGAAATAAGATGAACACAGCGTAAAATCTGAAATTGTTTACCTCGCGGCATGTATTTTTAACATATTAAATATACATAATGCTGCTTTCATCACCTTTTAAAATAACATAATATGTAGCAGAATTTCGACAGGGTGACAAACGCGACTAAAAAGTTACACCTTTGAATAAGCGATATTTTCAGCATCACATTCATCGACGAGCGATGAGGGAATAATAAATGATAACAATTTACAATTATTTGTCTGTAGGACATCGTAAAAAGCTGCGTTTACGCGTCAACTCGGGGGTGAAACTTGAAAGGAATGGCTTCCGGCTAAGGGATATCAATCTCAGACCACCGTGCTCGGTGAGAGGAGGGACCTCCTCGCGGAGGAGGCGACAAATGTAAAAACAAGATTCGCCCAACGTTCCCGATGACTCGCGTCCGGATGGTGCGATAAATTTCAAAGAATCGTCGGCTCAACGCGCCGAGCAGCTTCTCGCTTTCTTCGTCCGTCGTGGATATTTATATATCACGCGCGAAACGGCGCGCGAGCGCTTTTGATTTCTGCGATTTCGCGGCGAGATCGCCGGTCTGAGACGCGATCGAGAGATCGCTCGTGCGGCGCGCTTGTATAAAGCCTCTACCGACTTATTTATTTGCGTTATTATCGTGAGAGCGATGTTAGAAGAAGAGCCAGTCAGCGTAAGTCAAGCTCCTCGTCGTGCATTTCGAGGGAGACCTCGGCATTTATTTTTCTACGCGTCGTATATGCGTCGTGGTGACCGAGAGAAAGAGAGAGAGAGAGAAAGAGAGAGTGTGTGTGTGTGTCTCTCTCGTCTCGTCGTTCGGTCGACAATAAGTACGTCCGCACGTCGTTTCCGTTTGCATAAGCTGTACACAATATGAGCGTACGATTTGTTAAATAAAAATATGTAGCGACTCTGTCCGTTTCAATGCACTCCAGCACACGGAGAAAAGGATTTCTTTGGATTTAACATTTCTATTTATTTGACGAAAATTTGTTTCGTATAGAAACAACATGTACGGGAGATTATTTGTTTGAGTAAAAATCTTGTCACCTCAAACAAGAACGCGGTATTTCCACCCAGCAAGCAATCCAACACGGAAACAAGCATCGCTGGCCGATAGCTTTTGCTTGTAGCCACGGTTAGCGGCGTTTCGTTAAGCGATGCATCGCCAATTAATGATTAAGTGTCTCAAGTGAGCTGTAGAGGAAAAGGATGGGAAAAAAGGCAGGAATGATGGAGCGAGGACTTTCCCGAGGATGATTTGATGCAAGTTTGCTCGACGAAATATCGATATTCTCTATATTTGTGATATAACAATATTAATTGTTGCGCGACGAAAATTAATTATTCCTCATTGTACCGCGAGCTGACAAAGCTTACTCCGAATTCACACGGCAGCACGTATTATCTTCTTTTACAGAACGGCAGGGGAGCTTCAGAAGGGACGGTATCGATGATAACGAGTAACGCAAACAAAGGAGATAAGTACTAAAAATAATGGTTTGACTTAATACAGCGCTTTGGGACGCTTCTCGAGGTAGGCTTTAACATTCGGGAGGGCGTGAACTTTGTCCACCAGTTTCTTCAATTCAGGATGATCCTTGTTCAGATCCATCGTCAAGAACGCGTTTAAATACTCGGTGTAGGCTTCGTATGTGAAATCCACCCACGATAACTGAAAAGGCGACAATTTCTTGCTCCAATGGTAATAATAATAATAATAACAACAATGACATAATAATAATAACAGCAACAAATCGCGTTACCTTGCCGCGGACGAAGTAGCCGCCGTTCTCCTTGACTTGCTCCTCGAATTTTCGGAGACAGAACGGCAGCTTTTCAAATGCGATCTCATTGAACTTCTCTTTGACGACGGGGTCCTTCTTCCAGCGGAAGTTGGCCAGAGCTGTCAGGTGAATCACCGTGTCGAAATTCAATCACGTCGTAGAAAGACAGAACAGCGGAAATGGGAGAAAGAGTGACTCGGATCATTTTGTTCTGCATAATTAATGATCTACCTCATTCCGTATGATTGATCTCATCATTATTTGTAAAAGCCGCACAATAATCTTATTGAGATTATCTACCTGCTTTCTGTCTCGGCCAATCTGCAATGTCGATTCGATCATCTTCGAATTCGATGCCGCCATAGTGAAACATATACCTGATCGACTCTGCGAGGCCGGTCACATTGAAATATATGAGCTTATAGGTTGACATGTTTTCTGCAAAAATTACACAAATATGTTTAGAGATTTTTATTCACGATAAATATACAATAAACCATTGACATCGACATCACATTGAGTTTTAACGTAATATTAATTATAACTTCACGCACATACACATATACGCGCACGCACGCACGCACACACAGTTATAATCATATTATAACTCATATTGCAAATTTCACGTTTGCACGCTTATTTAAACTGCCGTTACGTAAAACGTCTCCATCTTCTAAGAATCGCACGTTCAATTTGAAGAAGCGAAGTATAAAGTAAAAATGCAATAAAGTACGACATTTAATTACATTATAGTCTTTAGTATACTCGGTTGAAGATGGTATTAAGACCTGCGCGTGATGATTAAACACGAACGAAAATAAAAATTTCCGACAATTACGTCAAGTCCCAAGTAATTAGTTAATGTTAAACCCGTCATCCGCGAGGTGTCGCGCTGTGCCACCTCGTTCTCGATGAGCTATACGCGATACCAGCGTTTAAACTACTTACTTCTTTTTCCTTGCGAACCACCTGCCAGGAGAAGGACGATGAAAAAATTCGGAGACTCCTGCGGGATGTATCGCGCAGGATAAGCAATTTAGCCGCAATCCGTTACGTCAACAGAATTGTCCCTTTTACCGTATATCTATTTGTTATACTTTAAAATATATCGGTAGTTCGGTACACCGCAGATCAACTGTCCTATCTCGTTTATGACTTTTAACCTGCCTGCACAGTTGCATTATTCCTGGTTATTTCCGTCCTATCGCACTTTTCTTATCTGCAATGATACAGAGCGAAGTGAAGCCGCTTTATGAAATATGACATAATTAGCAAAATCCGGGACGGACAGCTCGGAATTCGCCGCCAATTATAAATTGACTAAAGTGCACCGCAGGAAAAAGGGAAGTACAAGAGTATCCGAGTCGAAATTTTGTTCCAACACTAAGTCTACTTGGTTCTACAATTAGTCTTCAAGTGGGGAAAACGGAAATAACTCTCTCATTTGTAGCATCAAAGGAGCGTGACTGTTCTTGCTCCTTGGATGCCGCAACGGTAATTTAGACTTCCTGGAAGGGAAATTTTAAATTCCACATTAAGTCTTCAAATGGAAGAAGTGGAAATAACTTCTCATTTGCGGTATCAAAGGAGCACAATAGAAGATCTTTGTAGACTTAGTGTTGAACTTTGTAGACTTAGAGTAGAACTAAAATTTTGACTCGGATTAGGAGGACGCAGGACGGATTTCCTAAACGAGGACAAAGAAACAAGACATTCTCGAAGGTGATACGATGCAAATTTAATTGACGAAATTCATTATTCCTCTACATACATCGTGTAACAATGTTAACACATTTATTACGTTTTGCAGATTGGCTGTTTAAAGTTACGTCGTAAATTTCGTAAGCTTGTTGTCTTCTCTTACGGAACGTCGACGGCGGGAAAAATTTTGTAAAGATAACCACGATAACGGTATACGACATACGACGATAACAATATACAACAAATTTTGAAGTCGAAGACGGCAAATAAAAAATTGCAAATCGGTTTATAATTTAGAACATCATCTCCTTGGAACGTTTCTCAAGATAAGCTTTAATGTTGGGAATGGCGTGAACTTTGTCGACCAATTTCTGCAATTCCGGATGATTCTTGTTTACGTCGTTACCACAGAACTCAGTAAACATTTGAGTGTACGCTGCGTACATGATATCCGCCCATGTCAGCTGAAAATGCAGAAATGTGCTTTTGTATCCGCGCAACGACACAATTGTAAATGCACGGAGAAGAAATCAGTCTGAAATCAATGATAGATAATTCTCATGTGTAAGCAAGAATATCATAAACGTCTTCTATAGAAGATTTTTAGTTTTGATTTCATTGAATTTTTATTCATGCAAGTATATTCTACTTAATTCAAGACTAAAAGTCTTCTCAAGAATATTATAATATGCCTGCTTACACATGAGAATATTATTGATTTAATAAGACTATTTTCTTCCCCCACGCGCGAAAATCACATTCAAGTACAATTTGACCGACGTTTGAGTGTTTTTGCAAAAATAACTGACAATCTGATTAACGCAAACGCGCACTTATGTAATATATATCTTTGCATCTGACTTGATTAATTTTTTATCGACGTTTCATCTGTTTTTATCTATATGTTATCGTCATTTATATTTCGGTAATCTGCGAGGCGTACCGTCGTACGCCAATGAACGAGAATCGTTACCTTGCCGCGGACGAAGTGGCCGTCGTTTCTCTTAACCTGCTCCTCGAACTTATCCAAAAAATAGGGCAGTTTTTCGAACGCAATTTTCTTGAGATTCTGCTTCATGATAGGCTCCTTTTCCCAATAGAAGGTGCCCAGAGCTGCGGGAAAAGTTCGCGTTGAAACTTTTATGTTCGTAGACACGAAGAAAAAGACACGAAGAGAGAGAGAGAGAGAGAGAGAAAGAGATACTTCAGAAAGAAAGAGAGAAAAGGGACAGCAGATGACAGCGCTTATTAACATTCGGGGATCGACTTTCTGAGAACGTGAATCACACGTCATGAAAGAAATAAGACGAACGCTAAAAAATTATAACACGAAGTGGGAAATGCAAGCAACGGAGTAGGAGTGAATAAATTTGAAGATACAAAGAAATAATAAAATGAAAAGGGAGGGAAGAACGTAGTGATTGGGAACGAATTGAACGTTCGGCGTAAAAACCTGTATGCAAGAAAAGAGATAGAGAGAAGAGAAGGGAGATGGCGGGGGAGTAGTGAACGACATAGAAAATGATGCGATAGAAAAGTGACGGGCGCGTATGATGATAAAAAATGCGCGACGATCGTCGCAGGAAACGTATAGATTGTTAATTTGATGCGGTCTTCGCTTCGCTGCCATGCTTCAGTGTGCCTGCGTGCCTCGAACAGGCGAGTTAAAACATTCCCGGCTTGTTCAACATGCCTGTGCTATCCCGATGAGTAATCTTTCATCATACTTTATTCAAAAGAGATCAAGCTCAAGCGTGTGTACACCGTTACGTAACAATGCTGCACACTATTGTCGCTGCACCGACCGTCGCAGGCTATCACACGCGCGACCATAGCGACCCACCTTGTCTCAAATCCTCTAAGGAGTCGACCGTGCCGTCGATCTCGAGAGCTTCAATCGCGTCATCACTGTAGAGGTTGCACTTCTTGGCGAGGTAGCGGGCGATGGCTCTGGACTGATTGTACATTTTGCCGTCGATCTCCAAGACCGGTAACTGCCGCAAGGGCATTTCTGTGCGGTAGCGGGTAAATTAAATGTATGACCGGCACACGGGAGTGAGAGAGACGTACGTATTTTCACGAGCAAAGTGAAAGTCGTCTCGCTAACCCGTATGTGATATTAATAATCGAGGAACGTTGGAACTGTGTGAAACTTGGAAGTATGAAAATTTTGCCAATAGTTGCTTTTTATCGGATTATTTTCAAATAATTTTCCCTTAGTTTTCGCGACGATCGCACGATTCCAGACTGACGAGGGCGGACATCGGCGGTCGAGGAGTCTGTTTTCCCGAAACGTCGAAAGTCATATTTTCTAACATCATGACATTTGGAATAGTCTGGACTTTGTATTTAAAAGCATTTCAATTGTGGCATAGAGAAACGTCTGTGTGACGGTGGCCTTGATTAAAAATCAGCATGTTCTTCGAGAAACTAGAATTTCAATAATCGTTTCAGACACTTCTCTCTCTAGTATATTATTGACCTGTGATTTGACCAAATTTATCAAAATTCGTTCAATCAGCGCGACAACATACCAGGTTTGAATTTCGGCCATTCGTTGAAGTTAAGGTGGACATCTTCGAATTTGGTACAGCCAGCATAATGGAACATGTATCTGATCGGCTCCGCGATGCCGGTCGCATTGAAATACGTCAACTTATATTTCTCCGGCATGTTTGCTGCAAAAATTGCACAATTACGTTTAAGCACGTCCTCACGACTGACGTATGATACACTCTAGACATCGATTTCGCATCTGACTGCTTAATATAATAACATTAATTATAACTACAAACACCAAATGTATTTATATCAAATATATTAAATTTCGCGTTTGCCTTGAAAAGTCATTTTAGAAAACAGAACCTGCTTAGATTATTCGCTCAATTCGAGAAAAGCGAAGTACGAGAAAAAAGGCGATACAAGTGAAATATTTAATTACTTTGTAGTCGGTAATTTGCTCGGTCAGGTATGCACACGCACACACAGTATCGAGGAGCGAAAGTGGCTGAGATGCGAGACTCGTGGTGGTTCGCCAACGACTGAAAATTCCATCCACGGCTGTAATATCACGGCTGGGCATTGAAAGATAGATACCACTTTATTATCTCTAGCACATGCAAAATTACTACTGAATAGACAAGCATACGGTCGCGCATATGCTCGAACGATCGCGACGATTACGACGATATTTTATGGCATGTAACGTTTTTAACTACGTAGTTCTTGATACTGTATACAACGTAATTGTTAATATTTGAAATATTATAATAATATTTATATGATATGATTTTAATATTTCGGAATATTATATTCTCAACATTATAACAGTTGAAAAACACTTATAAAATATTATGTCAAAATGTTTGTAAAATCCATGTAAAATCAGTGTTTCGAAAGACTGATTTAATGTTCACCGGGTACTTAGAACGCATTATTCGCAAAAAGTCTCGTTGACTTTCTTTTTATTTACTTTCTTTTCCACGGAGAAGGGATGTCAGGAAGACGTCGGCTGACACAAAAGTCACTTCGATCGGATCTCATCGTTGGTTGTTTCTTTGCAAGCATGCAAATTGTGACGATCGAAAGTCCTCCGTTTGTGATCATTCGATCGACGATAAGCGCACGCATGCTCTAAATTAGTGTCCCTAGTTCGTATAAACTGGGGTAAAAAGGCGACTTTATGAAAGGAAATGATTATAATATGAAAGGACGATTTGTTATGTATAAAAATATGGGCACGGCATATAAGCACAATTTTGTCTCTCTTATACTTAAAAATTTCCCGAACAGGCGTATCTTTGTTTTATCAGGCTAGTCTTATCAGGCACTTATCAGGAATGATGCGACAACTTCGATGTGAAGTCGCTTTGTATAATAATCAAGAATAATTAACAAGAATCGTGATGAAGTGTTTATTTCGTCAAGTTTTATCGATACCAACTATAAATTATCTAAAATGGGCCGAAGGAAGAAAACATATCAAGACAGGCAAATGGAAAAATGTTTTATAAGGGGTACACAGAAGTAAAACGTTCTCGCGGATAGTTCCTCGACGCATTTTTATTCAACAAAGTTCAGTGTTATTTTTACATTTAATAACGGCATTATCTCTTGCGCTGCAAATTGAGCGGTTCGAGTTAACCTTCGTTCAAACGCTAGCGTGTCGCCCGGTAAACAAGAAATTATTAACACAACGTTGTTACGATGACATTTTATAACACGTAACGTTTTCAAATATGTACTCCTCAGTGATGTACACAACGTTATTGTTAACAATATTTGATCGAAACAATTAAAAATAATATTTCTACACTATAACTTCAACATTTAGGAATATCATATTATCAAGCAGCAGCTGGAAAACATTTATAAAATATCATGTCAAAATTTTTATAAAATCCGTGTAAAAGCAATGTTTCAAAAGACTGATTTAATGTTTCTTACCTACCGGGTACTTTCTTTGACAGGACGTCGTGGCTGATGGGGAGTTCGCGAGGAACGACAATAAGTTCGAGGATGAAACATACGTACGATCGATATATCGACAATCGAAAGATGAATTTACGATTTTAATGCCAATCGCGCAATTAAAAGACTCTCGTGAGACGTACGGCATATAAAACGAATCTTTTTACTCGTTATTTTCGTTATCACGAAAACAGAGCCAGAAAGCAACCGGCCAGCCGCAAAATCTTATTGTACATTTCGCGCGAACCTCAGCATTCGTTTCTTTTTCCTTTGACTGAAAGTTTCTCGATTTAATCGACTAGTAACAAGCACGCCAACAAGCTGCGAACATACGTCTCTGTGATTTTTAGCAACTTTGTAACATAAACAATAATATCAAATGTATTTAAAATAAAATGTTTTATTTTATATCAATTTAGACCAATTAAAATGATTATCTAGGAGCATGCGACTCGCCTAGTAGAGTAAATGTTCGACCGTGTGTTTGTTAAAACAATTCCTTAAAAATTAAATTTATTGCTTTGTTGTCTAATGCATATTAAACTCTGCACCATTTTCTTGATAATTAATTTAATTTCGGTCCTGTATTATTGAAAAACAGTAAGGCATACGTCAAAAGCAAGTTTATTTAATCGTAAAAGTGTGGAGCGTACACGTTCCACTCGGCCCGAACGGAAAGTCTCCAAAAATCGGTCCGGCACGGAACGTGTTAATGATGATGCAGAACTTCAATGAGAAATCGTTTTATGCGATATGATGTAGTTAGCAAGAAGAATCGTGGCGAAGTGCTGTGCGGAATTTTATCGCCAATAATAAATCATGGCTAAAATGGGCCGGGGGAGAGCAAAACGTATCGGAGGAAAATGGAAAATTACGTGAGAGAGGACACGAAAGTTCTCACGAATAAATCGATCTATTTTTATTTTATTTATTTATTTAACGAAATTCAATGTTCTCTTGCATCGAACATGTAACGACATTAATACTTTTTACGCTGGAATTGCGGCACGAGTTATTCCGCAGCAAGCGTGTTAGCTTCTCTGACGGAAGGTCCGTCGTAATTTGCGAGGAGCAATATGTGACAAGGAGTACGCAGTCGAGTACAATGCGTATGTACAAGATAGGATTATTGTTGTTACAATGTGGATGTTGGATGTTTGTTTTGATTTAGAACGGAGTCTTGGGACATTTTTCAAGATACGCTTTGATGCTGGGAATGGCGCACACCTTGCCCACCAGTTCTTTCAATTCCGGGTGATAATTGTCCAACTTCTGCGACAGGAACTCGTGTATGCGATCGATTTGCGCGGCATATACAATATCCGGCCAAGTCAGCTGAAAATGCAAAAAATCGTTTTCGCAAAGAAAATATTATCAAAACGAGTGTTCGTGTTTTTCCGCACTTACGCGCCAGCGTTTCGTCCACGATTAAATATTTTTAGTGTCTGTTAGCTTTCTAACGATATATATAATATTTTATTACTCGATACTAACTTACTAAATATAGATATTACTAAATAGAACTTATTAAATATAGATATTAGGAAAAAAATCACGTTAAAAGTACAGTGGAATGATAGGAAAAAAAAAATATGCATGTCTGTATATTCTATGTTAAAAATGTTAAAATATTTTCGTATTTAAAAACCGAAACAATGAAATGCAAGGATGAATGTTGCGTAACGAAGTGAGTCCGGTGAGTTGCCGGTTTTTTCGCGTACGCTAACGATTGAAGATCCGTTACCTTGCCGCGGACGAAGTGGCCGCCGTTCTTCTTCACTTGCTCTTCGAACTTGTTGAAGTAGAAGGGCACTTTCTCAGTTACGATTTCCTTCAACTTCTCCTTGATGAAAGGGTCCTCCTGCCGACGGTACATGGCCACAACTGCAAAAGGAATCGGCGTTAAGAGTAGTAGAAAGTGAGTGAGAGAGATAGAGAGAGAGAGAGAGACAGAGAATGAACGATGTAGAAAATGATGGAAATGATGCGTAAGAAGAATGATAGACGCGGGTGATGATAGAACGCGCGACGACTGCATTCAGAAATTACATAGATTATTTACTTCAAGTAGCCTTGACTTCGTTTACGGTATCTCGGCGGGACAAACACTTTTCGCTCGAAACGCGCTCGTCATGCTGATTAATTATTCTTCGTGTATCTGATATATCTGGAAATCGTGGAAAGACCAGGTCGGACGGTGCTGATCGATTTTTCCTTCATTTTTTGGAGATCATCTGGGTATTATTTGACGCGCATTATTGTTACGTAAATGTAATACCGCATGGAAGAAAAAAGTTCGGTCGAATTTATCCGATGACGAACAAACCGAGCGCATATTTTGGTCGAAGGAAATGGAATTTCCGCTTCTCACGAAGTAACTTCGATTCTTGCAACCGGATGAACCGGCGAGTCGATTCCGAACTTTTTTTTCCACGTATGTCCTGTCAGCCAACTTTCAGAAATTAATAACGTCAGTAGATGGAAAAAATCTCAGTTCGTGTACTAACTGTACCAACTGTACTAACAAACTTGGTCGTGGTAACTAAGGACAACTGATTACTTAGAAACCTCCTGCAGTGTATCAAATTCGACTTCATAAAATCATTGAGAATCTCACGCTGTGGAAAGTTTTTCTCGAAAATCTCCGCGATAGCCAATGTGTTAATCCAATTGTTTCTTTATTTGAGTGCTACATTCAGCCTGCTGACTCTCATTAGCCTTCTATCTGTCCTCTTCAGTATCCAAACCATTTTTTGCTTATTTCTCATATGCATACGTGATACAATTCCAACACTAAGCTATCGAACTGTCGGACTGCTTGATCTAGCATCGCTCTCCAATCACGGCAACAATCGCGACTCACGTTTTCTTAAATCTTCGAGGGAGTCGATGGCGGCGTCGATCTCGAGGGCTTCAATCTCATCATCACTGTAGAGGTTGCACTTCTTGGCGAGGTAGCGGGAGATGGCTCTGGACTGATCGTACTTCTTGCCGTCGATCTCCAAAACCGGTACGTGCCCCATGGGCATATCTGTGATGCAAACAAAGCAGACGTAATCATGAGAGACGTGCTCTCGCGTCTCTCGTAACGCAAAAGTACGCGAAACGAGACTCTCGTGACTGAAAACAACAAGAATAAGTACTCGGCAAATATAAAAATATGTCGATGCGAGCCGTTTCGAGCATGTTTCATCATGCGCGGAGCGGGTATACAGAAGGTCCTTTTTGCTCAGCGTAATGAAATGAATTTGCAACGTTTAAATGTTGATTTCAATCCCACCGTCTATCTTACTTCCCGTAATTTCATCAATTATCTCATCAATATTCGTAAATTCAGTACGAAAAGATACCTGCTTTGTATTTCGGCCAATCTTCAATTTCGAATCGAAAATCTTCGAATTCGATGCCGGCATAATTAAACATATATCTGATCGGCTCCGCGAGGCCGGTCACGTTGAAGTATATCAGCTTGTAGGTCGGCATTTTTACTGCAAAAACTACGTTTATATTTAAATATATGTACATATACATAAAGATTAGAGGCAATATATTACAAGCTTTGCGTTTGCTTAAAGAAAGATCCTTTTCTAAAACGCTTACTTTACGTAAAGATCGTACGTTCGATCAAATGAAGAAAGATAGAAAATAAAATGAGATATTTAATTACTTTAGAATCAGCAATTTTTCTACTCGACGAGACGGTATCGAGAAGTCGAAGTAGTCGACGTGAAACTCCCAACAATTCGCGAGCGACTGAAATTTCCGTGGCGAACATTATCTTATACCTCGAGTAAGCGCGAATAGAATTATCTTGGGATTATCTCGGAAAACGGTCACACACACACGCACACATGCAAAATGCTTATTATACATAATAGCGTTTAATCCTTTGCACTCGACGGTTCCGGAGCGGAGCTATTTAAAACTTGTTTTCAAACTGTTCAAACTCAAATGCAAATAGCAAGAGCGGAAGATCCTATACACAATAGTTTTTACGATTTGTCTTTGTCCTTATGTTATGAACTGAAAGTTATTTGCATCGTCTCCATAGCGGAGCCCTCGAGTTTGAAGATAAATTTTAAATGGCTCTGCTGCGGAGTCCTTGAATACAAAGGGTTAATGATAGGCGCGGTGCCAACGGTGCCGCCTATCGCTTAATGTGTACACCTGCCGAGCGACACAAATTGGTTGACTCGCTTTTACCGAACGTCTGTCGAAACGTTGGATGACAGTTGCGAATAGTGACTGCTTGTAACCGTGATTTTGGAAACGTAAACCGGTGATTTCGTAAGTAACCCCTTGACATACAATGACGTCTGGGAGACGCCATTCATTTCATGTACCATTGTAGACTTTAACGTCTCCGAGACTTCAAGAACTGTTTCCGGCGGACGCCGTGCAGTATATTATTAGATTATTCAATTGTTTCACTTGTGCGACGATTCTGTTTTATTTAGAATGTTCAAGATGCTCCCCCTTTCTCAACAGTGCCGATAACAAAATCGCATCGGCAAACCAGTAAATCAAAAAGAAGCACATTGAAAGCAGAATTCAGTATAGCAATGATCTCGCACGGCGAATGCCATACTATATACTTGAATGTAGTAAAAATTAGAAATAATCCTTGTAACATGTCTGAGTTGAATGTATTGTATGAAAGTGACAATGAATGTCTAATGGGCTATTCTAATGATGATAATGAGATTGAAAACCGTCGTCAATGTGTTCATACTGTTGACTAGTCAAATGATGACACATCACATCACATTAACATTTTATATCAACTTGATTAAATGTTATATTGCGATGCAAATTTCAAAATAAAAATTTCTGTTTCTAAGCTTGCACACAACTGTTCATTGAGCAAAATTGAATAGTATTTTTCGGACACATCAAATTCCGTTTTATTTGTATGTCAAGAAGTTAATGAAAATAGCGGGTCCAACTATAAAGGGTCATTCAGCCGAGACCCGAACCCATTTTGGATGAAACTCAAATTCGATGAGCCCAATGATTATCTTCGCAAAATGCTACGACTGCTTAGCTATGCTAATGTAATCATTTTAATTTACATTTAAGATGAAACCTCTAATCAAGAAATGTAAACAAGACTGATGCAAAATTCTCGTTAAATTCTCGCGACTCTGCGGTAAGGTGTGTGTTAGGATCGTATAGTATATTTAAAATATCATGTTGACGCTCAAAGCGACTTTTTGTCTGTGTTTATCATCGATAACTTTATCTCGCAACAGATTTTTAAGTTCAATATCAATTGCAATCAAAAGATTCTTGTAACATTGCTGACAAATCAAAATGCCAGATGAATCAATCTTTCTATTTAATTACTTTCGTTATCGTAAAAGCAACGCCAAGGAGGCCGGCCAGCCTACTGATACAGTAAAGTCCTTCAAAGGACGTTCTAAAGTGTCCGGAGGATATTTCCTATGTCCTAAGTACGTCCGTCGGATGAAACACGCTGTACGGATAAACTATATTGAGAAAAACTCTTTTTTACTATTTTGTTAGATAAAACATCCGTCGAACACGTGCAATTTGTTCACACATGCATATCACAGTATTAATCATCAGAAGCTTATCGCGCTGCACTTGTTAATGACGATGCAGAACTTCGATAAGAAATTGCTTTATGCGATATGATATAGTTAGCAAGAAGAATCGTGGCGAAGTGCTGTCCGGAATTTTATCGCCAATAATAAATCATGGCTAAAATGGGCCGGGGGAGAGCAAAACGTATCGAAGGAAAATGGAAAATTACGTGAGAGAGAGGACACCGGAGTTCTCACGAATAAATCGATTTTTATTTAACGAAGTTCAGTGTTCTCTTGCATCGAACATGTAACGACATTAATACCTTTTACGCTGAAATTGCGGCTCGAGTTATTCCGCAGCAAGCGTGTTAGCTTCTCTGACGGAAGGTCCGTCGTGATTTGCGAGGAGCAATATGTGACAAGGAGTTCGCAGTCGAGGACGATGCGTATGTACAAGGTAGGATTGTTGTTGTTACAAGGTGGATGCTTGTTTCGATTTAGAACTTAGTCTTGGGACGTTTCTCGAGATATGCTTTGATGCTGGGAATAGCGTTCACCTTCTCCACCAGTTTCTTCAATTCCGGGTGATCGATGTCCAACATCCGCGACGCGAACTCGTGTATGCGATCGATTAGCGCGGCGTATACAATATCCGGCCATGTCAGCTGAAAATGCAAGAAACCTTTCTCGTGTTTTCGCAAAGATAACATAACATTCGCAAAGATAACATAACATTCGCATAACATTATTAAAACGAGTGTTCGTGTTTTCCGCACTTACGCGCCAGTGCGTTTCGTCGACGATTAGATATTTTTAGTGTCGGTTAGCTTTCTACCGATATATATAATATTTTATTACTCGATACTAACTTACTAAATATAGATATTACTAAATAGAACTTACTAAATATAGATATTAGAAAAAAAAATCACGTTAAAAGTACAGTGGAATGATAGAAAAAAAAAAAATATGCATGTATGTATATTCTATGTTAAAAATGTTAAAATATTTTCGTATTTAAAAACCGAAACAATGAGTTGCAAGAATGAATATTGCGTAACGAAGTGAGTCCGGTGAGTTTCTGGTTTTTTCGCGTACGCTAACGATTGAAGATCCGTTACCTTGCCGCGGACGAAGTGGCCGTCGTTCTTTTTCACCTGCTCTTCGAACTTATTGAAGTAGAAGGGCACTTTTTCAGTTACGACTTCCTTCAACTTCTCTTTGATTACGGGGTCCTCCTGCCCATGGTACATGGCCGCGACTGCAAAGGGAATCGGCGTTAAGAGTAGTAGAGTGAGAAAGAGAGAGAGAGAGAATGAACGATGTAGAAAATAATGGAAATGATGTGTAAGAAAAATGATAGACGCGGATGATGATAGAATGCGGATGATGATAGAACGCGCGACGATTGCATTCAGAAATTGCATAGATTATTAACTTCAAGTGGCTTTGACTTCGTTCACGGCACCTCGGCGGGACAAACACTTCTCGCTCGAAACGCGCTCGTCATGCTGATTAATTATTCGTCGTGTATCTGATATATCTGAAAATCTTGGAAAGTCCAGGTCGGACGGTGCTGATCGATTCTTCTTTCATTTTTTGGGGATCATCTGGGTATTATCTGACGCGTATTGTTACGTAAATGTAATACCGCATGGAAGAAAATAGTTCGGTCGAATTTACCCAATGACGAACAAACCAAGCGCATATTTTGGTCGAAGGAAATGGAATTTCCGCTTCTCACGAAGTAACTTCGATTCTTGCAACCGGATGATCCGGCGAGTCGATTCCGAACTTTTTTTTCCACGTATGTCCTGTCAGCCAACTTTCAGAAATTAATAACGTCAGTAGATGGAAAAAAATCTCAGTTCGTGTACTAACCGTACCAACTGTACTAACAAACTTGGTTGAGGTAATTAAGGACAACTGATTACTTAGAAACCTCCTGCAGTGTATCAAATTCGACTTCATAAAATCAGTTGAGAATCTCACGCTGTGGAAAGTTTTCCTCGAAAATCTCCGCGATTGCCAAAGTGTTAATCCAATTGTTTTTTTATTTGAGCGCTAAATTTAGCTTGCTGACTCTCATTGGCCTTCTATTTGTCCTCTTTTGAGTAACCAAACCATTTTTTGCTTATCTCTCATATGCATACGTGATACAATTCCATCACTAAGCTATCGAACTGTCGGAATGCTTGATCTAGCATCGCTCTCCAATCACGGCAACAATCGCGACTCACGTTTTCTTAAATCTTCGAGGGAATCAACGGCGGCGTCGATCTCAAGGGCTTCAATTCCATCGGAGCTGTACAGATTGCACTTCTTCGCCAAATAGCGGCCGATCGCTCTGGATTCATCGTACTTCTTGCCGTCGATCTCCAAAACCGGTACGTGCCCCATGGGCATATCTGTGGTGCAAACAAAGCAGACGTAATCATGAGAGACGTGCTCTCGCGTCTCTCGTAACGCAAAAGTACGCGAAACGAGACTCTCATGACTGAAAACAACAAGAATAAGTACTCGGCAAATACAAAAATATGTCGATGCGAGCCATTTCGAGCACGTTTCATCATGCGCAGAGCGGGTATACAGAAGGTCCTTTTTGCTCAGCGTAATGAAATGAATTTGCAATGTTTAAATGTTGATTTCAATCCCACCGTCTATCTTGCTTCCCGTAATTTCATCAATTATCTCATGAATATTCATAAAGTCAGTATGAAAAGATACCTGGTTTGTATTTCGGCCAATCTTCAGATTCGAATCGAAAATCCTCGAATTCGATGCCGGCATAATTAAACATGTATCTGATCGGCTCCGCGAGGCCGGTCACGTTGAAGTACATCAGCTTGTAGGTCGGCATTTTTACTGCAAAAACTGCGTGTATATTTAAATATATGTACATATACATAAAGATTAGAGGCAATATATTACAAGCTTTGCGTTTGCTTAAAGAAAGATCCTTTTCTAAAACGCTTACTTTACGTAAAGATCGTACGTTCGATCAAATGAAGAAAGATAGAAAATAAAATGAGATATTTAATTACTTTAGAATCAGCAATTTTTCTACTCGACGAGACGGTATCGAGAAGTCGAAGTAGTCGACGTGAAACTCCCAACAATTCGCGAGCGACTGAAATTTTCGTGGCGGACATTATCTTATACCTCGAGTAAGCGCGAATAGAATTATTGTGGGATTATCTCGGAAAACGGTCACACACATACACACACACATACACACTTACACACACACACACGCGCGAAATGCTTATCATGCGCAATAGCGTTTAATGATAGGCGCGGTGCCAACGGTGCCGCCTATCGCTTGATGTGTACACGTACTCACGTGTCGCACCTGCCGAGCGACACAAATTGGTTGACTCGCCATTACCGAGCATCGGTCAAAACGTTGGATGACAGTTGTGAATGGTAACTGCTTGTAACCGTGATTTTGGAAACGTAAACCGGCGATTTTGTAATTAATGAAAATAGCGGGTCCAACTATAAAAGGTCATTTAGCCGAGACCCGAACCTATCTTGGATGAAACTCAAACTCGATGACCCCAACGATTATCTTTGCAAACTGCTACGACTGCTTAGCTTTGCTAATGTAATCATTTTAATCTATATTTAAGATGAAACCTCTAATCAAGAAATTTAAGCAAGACTGATGCAAAATTCTCGTTAAATTCTCGCGACTTCTGCGATAAGGTGTGCGTTAGTATCGTATAGTATATTTAAAATATCATGTTGACGCTCAAAGCGACTTTTTGTCTACGTTTATCATCGATAACTTTATCTCACAATAGATTTTTAAGTTCAATATCAATTGCAATCAAAAGACTCTTGTAACATTGTTGACAAATAAAAATGCCGGCTGAATCAATCTTTTTACTTAATTACTTTCGTTATCGTAAAAGCAACGCCAGGGAGGCCGACCAACCTATCCATACAGTAAAGTCCTCCAAAGGACGTCCTAAAGTGCCCGGAGGATGTTTCCTATGTCCTAAGGTCGTCCGTCGGATGAAACACGTTGTACGGATAAACTATACTGAGAAAACTCTTTTTTACGATTTTTTACGATTAAATGAAACATCCGTCGGACATATGCAATTTGTTGACACACGCATATCACAGTAATAATTATCAGAAGCTTATCGCGCTGTGCTTATCAGCAATGACACTGCGATTTCGCAAAGTCAAGCGGCGTTATGCAATACAATGTGAAACTGCCCAAGCAGCACGTAAACATTCGAGGAACGTTTACTTTACATTTACTTGGTTTAATTATATTCAGTAAAAAAGTATTCAAAACACTAATTATAACACTGCAACACTTTTGTTACGTAAGATATATACTGAAAACGTATGTTCTAAAACGTATGTTTTTCGAACGTTCCCACTTCGTTCGAATATAACCAAACCAACGTAAACTGAACGTTCCTCGAACGTTTACGTGCTGCTTGGATGGGAAGATTTAATTCGTAATTGTCGCTAATTATAAATTATCCAGGCTTGAGCGGAGATAAATGGCGCGAAAGCAGGAAAGATAAAGCATAGGGGATGTTCGGTGATTTTTATATTTGTTGTATAGCAATAATAATATATATCAAACTGTTAGTTTTATACATCGGCGTCTTCTTGTGTAGGACATCATGACGAGGAAAGTTCGCAAAGAGCCGTACATGACAATGAATTAAAAGCAGAAGAAACGCAAAGTGCTCGATAATTGATAACTGATCTACAATTTTGTGCTTGATTCGAAATCGAGGCGAAATCGAGACGAGCACAAAATTGTAGATCAGTTATCAGTTGAATTAGTGATTTACGCCATTGTCTTGGGACGCTTCTCGAGATAAGCTTTAACGTTGGGAAGGGCGTTCACTTTCTCCACAAGTTTCTTCAATTCCGGGTGATCCTTGTTCATATCTTCCCCCAGGAGCACGTTCAGGTATCCGCTGTACGCAGCGAACACGAAGTCTGCCCACGACAGCTGGAAGTGTATTTATATATTTCGGTAAGTTCAGAATGAGACGGAAGAAAATTATATTGCCTTAATTCAGCCGCATGCATTAGCAATTATTTACAATTCGCACGTACGTCAAGTAAAGGACACAGTTTTTCTTTCCTCGCATGTCGGCGAATATATTTGAAGGATTCAAGCGAACGATGAAAAATTAACTCAATAATTAAGGGATAAATAAAAGAATTGCGTTAAGCAGCCCTGAAACTGATTCCTTCTCGTGATGATCAGTAACGCAAGCAAAGCAAAAAGTTATCACCTTGCCGCGGACGAAGTGACCGTCATTTTTCTTAACTTGCTCCTCGAACTTGTCGAGGTAGAATGGTAATTTTTCAAAAGCGATCTCCTTCAATTTCTCCTTGAAGACGGGGTCTTTGTTCCAGTAAAAAGTGGCTACAGCTGTAAAACAAATATCAAAAAAGTATTGTAACCTGTTTTTTTACTAACCCGGGAGAAAAATTTCTCATGTATAATTATATATTTTTATACAGGATGTTCCTTAAGTAACAATTAATTATATACGGAAAATTTTTTCCCCGGGCATGCAATCAGCCTTTAAGATGTAATTAATTCTATTTCATTACGTAACTTGTTGGGACACAATAGTAACCAACGACGGTTGTTACAGCTACGATATTCGAGATGTGAAAATTTTCCATTCGACTTGCGCAACATGCTCGACCGCATTGACGAAGCCGAACATCTCGTCGGTATAGAAATATCGAGTATAATCGTGTTTTACTATTACGCAATTGCCAATCCCACCTACCCAACGCTGGTTGTCGATCGTCGTTTACCGGCTATTCACGCAATTACTACTCACCGTGTCTAAGATCGTCTATGGAATCGACCATGGCGTCGATCTCCATTGCCTCGAACTCGTCCGAACTGTAGAGGTTGTTCTTTTTGGCGAGATAGCGAGAAATAGCTCTGGACTGATGATATACCTTGCCGTCGATCTCCAAAATAGGTACTTGACCCAGGGGCATATCTATGGTTCAGTTGATTGCGTGAGATGCGTGCTTCGACTGAGATCAATTGAGAATCGTCGGGGCAATCAACAAGCGCAAGCATCTACAAGATGTCTCAGAATCGTCCAAAAGATATCTCATCCAGTTTAGGTTTTTTTTTTCCGATACTTTCAAGACATCTTGTAAAAATGTTTGCGCTTTGTAAAATCATAGTTTATAAAAATATGAAACGACCAAGGACGATTGGGAAATAGGATTTCCTACGTAGGAAACGTCGACGCGACATTTTCGCTGAAAATCATCGCTCGAAAACTATCAGCGTTTTTTTTCTTTTCGAAAAAGCAGATAATGTTTAATACTCAAACGTTGGAACCTTATAACGTATAAAATATATTTCTCAGTCTTGGAAATTAAATTGAGTTAAAATTGAATTCATTTCACAACTGAAACATTCAAGGTGATTTTTGCCGCGCTCTGATTAATCTAATCGACTAACAAACTCAACGAAGTTGACCAATCGCATTTATCAATCAGCTGAATTGACCAATGCGATTAGTTAACTTCGTTGAGTTTGTCGTCGATTAGATTAATCAGAGTTCGGTGAAAGTCACTCTCGAACTTGAAACTCTACATTCCTTCTCCACGTCCGATTGCTTTATCAATATTCACAAATTCAGCGCGACGACATACCTGCTTTGTGCTTCAACCAGTCGTCGATTTCAATTCGAATATCCTCGAAAGGGATGTCGCAATAATGAAGCATATATCTGATCGGTTCCCCGAGGGCGGTCAAATTGAAATACGTTAACTTGTACGTCGGCATTTTCTCTGCGAAAATCACACAAAGGTACACTTCGACTGCATCCTCACGACAAATATGCGATGCACTCTAGTTATCGAATCGAAATGCAATTACTGTACAATTATCGCGCGTGTATCGCGTGATCTATTGATACTCTCTTCCTGAAAAGAGTTTGCTTGATTTCAAATATGATTTTCAAAAATAACATCGTTTGCGTCTCGTAAATATTTCGTTTGTTCAACCCACGCAAAGCGAACTAATGGGGCTGAAGAGGAATATATTCGAGTGAAATGTTTATTTACTTTACGGCGATTTACTCGACGAGATTTTACTGGGTTGTCGGGAGTGGCCGATGTGAAGCTTCTGACGAATGGAGTACGACTGAATGTTTCTCCCTCCCGCCATTGCGCGGCGGCGGACTCGCCTCAGCTAGATTAGTTTTTTTTCCCCAAAAGCGAGTCGAATCCCTCGTGGTAAAGCGGTCGTGGTTCTTACCGTTCTTCCTCGATACTGCTTCCGGCCGATCCCGCACAGTCCGATCTAGCTCCTCGCCGGAAGCAGTTTCCACGAACAACTTTACGAGCCCCTGACACGGCTCAATATACAATCTGCAATGCAATCCCGACAATAATTCGACGACGACTGTGCGACCGGCGAAGGGAAAAAGCGCCCGAGTCTCCGGGATCCTTACACTCGAGTGTTTTGAATACTTTTTTACTGAATATAATTAAACCAAGTAAATGTAAAGTAAACGTTCCTCGAATGTTTACGCGCTGCTTGCGCAGTTTCACATTGTATTGCATAACGCCGCTTGACTTTGCGAAATCGCAGTGTCATTGCTGATACGCACAGCGCGATAAGCTTCTGATAATTATTACTGTGATATGCGTGTGTGAACAAGCGCCCGAGTCTCCGGGATTCTTACACTCGAGACGCACTCGAGTACGACCCTTGTCGCCCTGCGACGGGACCCCTAAATCTCGTAAGTCCGGGCGCCACGGACCTCCAACGAGTTCACTTCCCGGTACTCTGATCGCGTTTATGCCGTCGGGAAGCGACGGCAACCGACTCGGAATTAATTCGCAACTCTACTTCTTTACCCGCGACTGTACAAAGTTCTCTTTCTCACCCCTCGCAGCCCGAAGCTCGCCTCTCCTCGGGACTCGTCTCGATATTTTGGCCGTTTCGCTCGCTCGCTATCGAGAGGGACGACCATTCCGCTCGCCGTCGGACCGCACAGTGTCGAGCAGGGCTCCGTCATCGGGTTCCTTTAGCGCAGGAGGCAGCCGTTCCACGGATTCATCACGCTGATCGATGCGGCATCCGATTGGTTTTCCCGGCTAGATCGCGCGCGACAAGGATGCTCGCGGGAGCTTCACGTCTGATGTCGTCCTTTCGGCGTTCGCTTTGGTTTCTCCCCGAGACGACTTTCGGCAACTGTTGGGTTCGCAGCAGTTCAACAGGACTCCCGGGCGCGCTTTCCGCGGGATCCTTCCCTGCCTGCTCTGCGACCAGGTCGCGGGACTTTGCGCCTTTCTTAGCGCAAGGTGACCATCCCGCTGTCGGTCGCCAGCCGTCCGTCCGCGTCCTCCCACGCGTCGCTCTAGCCGCCGTCCAGCATCCTCCCGGCAGCTCCGACTCCTTTCCGCTTCCTCTCCTCCGATGTTCTGGCTCGGGGTGTTCTTACACTCAAAAAAAAATATAGTAGCCGCGAATCCTGTCTCGTGCACCACCGGTGCACGACAGTCAAAAATAATCAATTCGGTCGCCTTCTCTCATGAGAAGGCGCGAGTCTCCGGCTTCTCCTCGGCTACGGCCTGAATGACGAGCAAAAATTTGCATCATCGCGATAGCTATAAATACGTAATATTCTTGGAACACTGTATAAATATTATTAGATATTAAAATAATATTTTTATAATATTCTAAGAATGTTATACAATATTTTTTTAATATTACAGAAATGTTCTATTCACGTTATATGTCCATTTCATAGTATTCATATTATAAAAATGTTCTTAGAATATTTAAAAAAATAAAATAATATAGAAAAATATATATAAATTAAAGAAAAAATATATATAACTTTTTTTCGTATAAAATCGAACCCGGGAACCTCTAAATATGGTAGACCGATGCGCTGTCTACCATATTTAGAGGTCCATGCCACGCTCGCTCTGAATTAAACTGATTAAATGATTCTAATCTTATCGGGTAATATTTATCGAGACTCGAACCCAACTTTTATTGGTTCCAAAATTTCCGAGCTGCCGTCATGACCAATGAATTGATGTCGCAGTACGACCCACCGCCAGGTCAGGTATATCGTTCATTTCCAAGTATTACGGGTCGACGGTAAGTTACAGAAGACCATTGATTTTTCAATTACACAGTCGACTTTATTCATTCCCATGGAATGATCAGAGCCGAAAGAGGGAGCTTTATATTCTTCTTGTGTATCTGACGTCGTTCGATTCCGTACGCACCTAAATATGTTTTATTCTTAAAATCTGCGGAAAAACTCCGCAAACATAGCAAAACTAGTGTGTACAATGTTCACAATAGTATAACACTATCATTAAGGAGGCAAGAGGGAGAAATTTGGGCATACAGTTCGTGAAATAATAGACGTGGTGTAATGAAAGTAAATATTTATTGAGATATAAAACTGCGTAGTGAGTGAAAAAAAATAGTCGTTCCTCACGAATTCCGTTTCACCAGGAATAACCTCAATATCGAAAGTATTACTTCGAGTATCATTTTAATATGGACAATACTTATTGTCGGCGTTAATATGGAAGCATACAACAATCAGCATTTAGGACCTGTAAAGAAGAAACAGTGTTAAAAAGGAAAAAATATGTATTCATCGCTGCACGGTCCTAAATCTATCGAACGATCTCTCGCAACGAGTGAAAGAAAATCGATCGTCTAATTCAGATGAAAATGAGTAGAAAACGATCTTCGGTCCGAGAATCGCTCGTTCATAGGATTTCTCCCCCGTGAAAATCATCGTTCCCATCATCGAAATGACAATTACCAGGTGACCTGCGGACGCTTCTCGATCCAGCTCTTGATAGCCGGCACTTCCAAAACCTTCTGATTCAGCTGCTTCAAGTTATCGTACTTCTCGATGATCTCCTGATTGTCCATCATGTGGTTCATATAGTCCAACAGGCCGACGAAGACGAGATCGGCCCAACTGAGGGAGCCACCGATGAAATAACCGCCGTTCTTTTGTACTTGAGCGTCCAGACGTTCCAAGTAGTACTGCACCTGTTCCTTGACTATCTTATGCTTCGCCGCCTTAGCCTCCTCGTGACTCTCGTAGGAATAAATCCCAATCTCTGATCAAGATAAAAGTATAATTTGAAAGATGAAATACGAAGACGGTATTTTCGACGCCGGTCTCAATTTCTGATGTCACGTGAAACGACCTAATAACTCGAATTTACTTCATCGGGAAAACGAACACCTTTGCTCTATGCATTTAGCAGCAAAATTCAATCTCGAATTGTATCAGAAAATCGGCGGAATGTGAATTCTTAGTAATTCCTAACGAACCACCGAGGAAGATAGTACTACTTGATCACGAACGGGGGTATCGTCTCTACTAACTTTGACGCAAATCGTTTATCGTGTCGACGGTGGCGTCGATTTCCAGAGCCTCCCAATCATCTTTGCCGGCGAGGCCGCACTTCTTCGCCAAGTAACGGCTGATAGCCATGGATTGGTTGATCTTCTTTCCGTCGACTTCGAGAACGGGCACCTGGCCGAACGGCATGGCTGAGCAATGACAGTACGAAATTAAACGATAATTAAATTGAACGCCGCGTCGAACGTACAATAACGGTCGATAATTAATTCGTTCACCGAAGGCCCGGCAATTTTGTTCGGAAATGAAAACGTTCGTAGAAATTAATCGGAACGATGCGGTTGTTTTCGATTCGACGACGACCAAATTGACGAAATTGGCTTGATCTCAATTACGAAAGTCATCGAAGGCAATGTCGACGGTTTTATCGAGCTCGAATTACCGTTTTTTCAGCCCAGGGACGCGCTGTTTGTGCGATGAACCCGATCGTGTTGTTGTTCGTTCGATACAATTGAATACAGGACGTCGCATGCGCGCCGACAATGCCGATTGTCTCGTCAAGTCATTGTCGCGCGCGCGCGCGCAGTAAGAAATAATACAGAAAGCTCAATTGTCGCTCATAACAACATCCGCTTCTAATTCACCGAAGCGAACCGTCGCTGAAACGGTAAACGTCCCATTGAAAGCCTTAGGATTAAGCCGGTAACTTCATTCAAAATAATTCATTGCACAACAGCGAGCTGCCTCGCACCGTGTGTTCTATATCCACAGATAAGAAGATTCAACACAACGATAAGAATACATTGTGGAACAACTTCTTTCGAAGATAATGTATGCAAATAATTTTTAGGCGACGTCGTGCAACAGGTGATCTCGTCGCTCGGACCTTGAGGGGGGATTTATCGAGACGGGATTACACATAACCTCCGGCGAATAACAGGTGCATATAATGTCATTAGTGTTTATCCGCTAATACACGTACTCTCCTTAATCTTCGGCCAGTCCTCTCGGTTGAAGCGATCGTCCTCGAAATCGATGCCGGCATAACTGAGGAGGAAGCGAATCGGCTCGGCCAATGCCGTGATGGGGAAGTAAGTCAACTTGTAGGAAGGCATGTTGCTGAAACAGAAGAGGCTCGATTACCCTCCGACACCATTTTTCATATTCATCAGAAGTGAATAATACGTTTCAACGTTTGCTAACCTTCTTTGGAACACACTGTGATATTAATTCATAGAATCTCAATGTAATTTAATTCACTTGATGTAATTAGATTCCTATCTCTGTGATTAAGAAGCCTAACTTCCGCCTTCTAACTCTCAACAAGTCCCGACTTTTGAACGGAACTTTTCAGGATAGTCTGGCAATTATGAGATCCAATTTTTTTTGTTTGTTTCATATATTCGTACTCGGAAAGAAAAAAGTACTATTATATTCGAATAATATATTCGCCAAGGAACGTTGAAGAAATTGAAATAACCAACTCCGACACTCCTTGGCAAATATTTATTCGAATGTGGTTTTTTTATTCCGACTTTTTTATTCCGAGTACGAATATATGGGGAAAAAAAAACTCATGATTACCACCAAATTAACAGTATTTTCTTCCTTTTTTTAGCGCACATATTTACGGTAGAAAAACGCCGTGACGTGTGTGCGTTATGTTTGCACAATTGACGCTTGTAATGTTGATAACGAGCGTGTATTTATGAAGTATTTATCACCGTTATCATACCATGTATATATATATATATATATATATATATATATATATGACCAGACAACTTTTATGATAGGATTTCATACGAAAATTTTTAGACCGCGTTATGCAACGTACGATTCACCGGGCCATCCGCTCGACTGACTACCTTCACCACTATAATTCTTCTCTCTATTGCGTAGATTTTCCTATTATGCAATTGAACAAGTGACAACTCTACTTGAGATCCGTATCTCGAACGCGCACGATGACGCGCGCGACGTCGATCGACGTGTGGCATCGTCCTCGATTTTTTTCGCGGCTTCCGAGCGACGACGAAAACTTCAAAAAATCGCTCCCATCGCTCGGAATTTAGAAACTCCCCTGCCGACCTTGGGGTAGAACGCAATTACATACTCGTTCCTCGCGACGCTCCCGGCAGTTATAAATATCGTTGTGGCACTCACGATACCTCCCTTCGGTGTTTATTTCACGACGGGAGTACAACGCGCTTTACGCGGAATTCAATCGATACTCGCGGAAGTACATAGAATTTCCCAGCGAGCCGTCGCAAGGCGAAAGTCGTATCGGACGCGTTGAAAGCGTCACTCTCTGCCTTCCTTTAGCGTGCAATGAGCGAGAAAGACGGAACGACGCTTTAGGGCAACGAAAGCGTCCAACCTCCGATTTCACCCGAGGTTTTGAACTCTCCTCGGAGAAGAGCTCGAGAGAGCTCGGTTTAAGCTTGAATTGACGTTGGTGAAACGAGGCGTCAAGCCCGATCTACCATGTACTCTTTGTTTCTTGCTTCTCACTCGCTATCTCTTTTCAACAAGTAAAAGCTCTCACAGAGGGAAGATGGACGACAAGAAATGATACTCATTGTAGACTGAACTTGAAACGGACTAGTCATCCAGGTGGAGCGGAAAATGGCAATGATGTGAAAATGACGTCGATGTGAAGGGGAAATTTAACGAAAGATGAATTTTCACGGGCGTTCTCTCGACGCGATAACGCGCAAATGATAGCGATTTCCTGCCCAATCTGGAGCTGCATTCCGATGCACGTCTGCCATTAACGAGAATCTACAATACGTGTGACACGAACTGTAGATTCTCGACAGAGTGAATACCGGCACGCAGACATGACCGGCGTGAGTCGCTCGCCTATGCGAATTCTACTCTTATCGTGATAATCGCCGCAATAACTGTTGCCTCGTCTAATGGTTGATTGTTCTTCCTATTGCCACGTCATTTTGCGAGAGCAATAATTAATCGACACGCGAGACGCCGGCAATTAACTGACTAAACAGGTGACCTCTGCGACATATTTCGCAACATCGCATTAATCGCAATAATTCGCAGTGCTCCGGCCTGCCGGCCGGAAACCGACTTTTCGAGATCCGGAGGTGGCACGAAGAGAAAAAAAGAGAGGCTGTACTTACGATTTCTCGAATTACGATTTCCGCGAATTCTCTGTTAGGAAGAAGCCGGTCTCGACGAGCCGCCAGTCACCAACAGCGATACCAGCAAATAAGAGCGAGTAGCCGGCGAAGGGAGCGGTTATTAAATCCCTATCATCCCCCCTGCCAACTTGATCCCCCACTAATCCCCACCTCGATGTGTCCATACGGTCGAAATGGGATCCGGAAGAATGTAACCAGACCAGGCGAGATGGAGTCCTCAGTATCGTGACTTTCTCCCTAGGGCGAAAACGTGAGAAACGAGATGTTTTTAAATTAGAAAATTTGCACACTTTTCACAGGAGTTCACGCTGGAAGAAAAGATTGTTGACAACCCCCCTGAGAGTTGATTTGACACCCTCCACGGGGAGAAACTTGAAAGCAGCCGTCACGGTGCGTTTTTCAGCGGACGGTTTTCCGACGCGCTCTGTGGAAAAGTACGTGTAAACTAGTAGGGATTAAACAAGGAGCGCGATGATTGGTCGAACTTCAATCCAACATCAATTCTAATCCGCAATGTGATACGGGCTTTTGAATGATTCTCGGAACGCATTCGGCGTCGAATAGGAAAATACCTATGAAAACGACCGAACGACGGAAAAACGAAAAGCAATAAGAGCCACCGAAGGTCTAATTAACGTGTACTTACACTACACACGCAGGCAAGAATTAACGAATTATCGGGAAACATCTTTGCGTGCTCTCCGTTCGCACGACCTGCGTCGACACAGCGACCTTCCATTGGCTGCGCGTCATCTCGAGATAACTCGCAGCCAATGAAGGGGGAGTTATGCGCGAGTGATGTGCACGGGAAGCAGCCTCCGATGCTTCCTAACCTCTCACTCGTTTATTGTGGTGCATACACAGACTCGAAAGGCAGAATATGACGTTGTACCAGCGCTCCGTGTCCCGATGATGATGACGCCTCCCCGGGAATCACCGGTCTCGTGAAAACGTCGGGATTCTGTCGTGAATTTGGCCGCCGGCTCCAGCGCAACCGATGGAGGCTGGCAGCGAGATGTTGACGCGCGCGAGTCAGCCGCACACCAATCTCTGCCGTGTCTGCCTGATCGCGGACCACAACAATCGATGCATCTTCCGCAGGAACTGGGACGAGCCGGAGGACCCCGGCAATTCCGAACTGTCGACGAAGCTGTTCGTGTGCGGCGGCGTGGAGGTTTGTTCGCGATGCGCCTTACCTCGCTTCTCGCACGGATCACGAGACGATTTCTGTCCACCCAGGTGCTGGAGGACGACGGTTTGCCCACCAGTATTTGCCTCGAGTGCTTGACCAAGGTCAACATCGCCTACAAACTGAGGCAACAATGTCAGAATGCCGACGCGAAGCTCAGAGAGCTCTACGGTAAAGCCTTAAGGAGGAATTTCGCCGGCACCCGCGTTCCCACGAAGGTACTCGCACCTTTCTGCGCAATGAGGGACTAATTCCTGCGCCGTTGCGAATCCATGTTCACTGTATTCTGTTTTCCAGGACCAGTGCTGTCAGACCGAGCAATTTTCTATCTCCGGTGCGATCAAGTCAGAAGACAATACAGAACCAAGCCTGAACAACGCGATTAACACGGAGGGGGGTAACTTAGCGGAATCAAAGGTCGTCGCGAGACACGAACAAATCACGGATGTCTTTCATCAGACCAATTATCCCGAGGACATACTGACGGACAGCGAATTAGGTCCGGAGTGTGTCAACAGGTGTAAAGAAGCGGAGCAGGAGAAGGCGGCGAAGAAGGAGGCTTACAGGACGAGAAGGATGACCGTGTTCAAGAGAGTCACCTCTATGGAGAATCTGAAGAATCACAAGGAGATACAGAGGAGGTACATCAAGAAGAGCGCGAGCGCGAAGCGCGAGGGCGGCGAACACGAGCATCAGACGGGCGTGTGGAGGAACCGCCGGGCGGACCGAGCGTCCGAGCTCGACTCGTACAAGTGTCCGAAATGTGATAGATTCTATTCCAGTAAGAAGTCCCTGGATAGACACGCGTCGACTCACAACGACAGGGAGAAGTTGAAATGCGACGACTGTGATAAGCAATTCCTCGGTCTGGACAAGCTGCTCAAGCACGTGGATCTGCACAAGACGAAGGGGACGACGAAGCCGCAGCCGGTGCAGTGCCGGATATGCGGCAAGAGCTTCAGGAAGACCGACACGATGGTGAGACACCTGAACGCCCACAAGAGGGCCAATCCCAGGGAGGTGTTCTCCATACTGAAGGAGATCCGGGACCGGCGGAGACTGGAGAACAGCCCGGAGACCTCGGCGAAGGAGCCCGACGACGGGGAGGAGGAGGAGAGCGCGCGGAACGAGAAGTCGAAGGTCGCGAGGAGGAAGCGCGACTACGGCCGGACGGAGCCGAGGGACTCGCCGCGCACCAGCGACTCCAGCGACGACAGCAAACGCCAACCGGACGACGACAACGGGACGTCGCGGTACCGCTGCAAACACTGCGGCAAACGCTACACCACCGAACGGTCCCTCCAACGTCACCGGCTGATCCACGACGAGAAGAGGTTCGCCTGCGGCGTGTGCAATATGAAGTTCTACCGGCAGGACCGGCTGAAGAGTCACGTCGACCGGTACGGCCACGACGAGACGAAGGCGGCCGAGCCGCAGCGGCCGCCGGACGACAAGTCCGCGATCAAGCTGATCAACAGCTGGATCCGCGAGGAGCTCGACTCCGACAACGAGGGCAAGGGCTTCCCCTGCAAGATCTGCGGCAAGTCCTACGACACGAAGAAGTCCCTGTCGAAGCACCAGGCGAACGCGCACACCCGCGACGACGGGCAGCGTTGCGCGAGCTGCGCGGCCGACGAGGCGGCGTGCGGCTGCGCGCAGCGCAAGGAGAAGGCCGTCCCGACGGTGGGCAAGTCGAAGCCGTACACGTGCGAGGAGTGCCAGAAGTCCTTCGAGAAGGAGATCAAGCTGCAGAGGCACCTGCGCATCCACGAGCGCGCGAAGGAGCAGCAGGACGCGAACTTCAAGCGTTTCCTCTGCCACATCTGCAGCAAGACCTTCCGGCAGAACACCGGGCTGATGTTCCACATGCGCACCCACACCGGCTACAAGCCCCATGTCTGCAAGTACTGCGGCCGCGGCTTCACCTCCAACTCGAACTGCATCAATCACGAGCGCACGCACACCGGCGACCGGCCGTTCGTCTGCCACTTCTGCAGCGCCGCGTTCGCCAAGTCGTGCACCCTCAAGGCCCACATCACCACGCACACCGGCGAGGCGAACTACCACTGCAAGACCTGCGGCAAGTCCTTCCGCCGGCTCAAGTACCTCAAGGAACACCGGTTCACCCACACCGGCGAGAAGCCGTACGCCTGCAAGATATGCGGCACTGCTTACAGCCATTCCGGCAGCCTGTTCGTGCACGAGAAGAAGTGCAAGGCCCAGTACAGCGGGTACCATCAGCAGCCGACCGGCTGCCCGTACAACGACAGCCCGCAGTCCTCGCAGAACGTCGTCGTCTCCGCCGCGTCCTCCCCCACGCTCATCGGGCCCATCGGCCTGCCGCACCTGAACGTCATCAACAGCGCGTTAAGCGTGCAGACCGGCAAGAGCTATGCGGTGGACAACGCCCAGCGGATGAACCTCCCGACCGCCGGGCTGCACTCCAACGCCGGCGACATCGGCGAGATCGGTCCCAGCGTGCGGAACTTCGCCATCATCGGCCAGATGTTTCACTCGTAGGGAGCGCCGCGAGGGGACCGCGAGACTTTCACTGTGATACACGCTCACACGTACACACATATACGCATTTTTTCATACCTCTTCTTTTATGTGTCGCTTCTTCGGAGACGTCGCGATACCTTGCTTTTCTATTCTTCCCTTTTCTCTTCTTCTTGTAATCATCTCGCTGCGGCACGTTTTGTATTATACATTATCGCACAATGCGTGGGGGCAAATGGGTGTATGAGAAATGTATATTTATATTTTACGATTACTTTATACATATATATAGAGAGAGAGAGAAAGAGAGAGAAAGAAAGGAGTTCTAGAATGAATAGAATTTTTACTGGAAGACTTTTTTTAATCGTTTGTTATCGCTGTATATATAATTCGTGTAATCATGATATAAAGAGATAGCTTATCTATCTAATAAAAGTAATGTTCTGTCAGTCATGTAACGTTGAATCCCCACATGAATAAGCGCGTCCCATCACGAGAATGATTTACACTTCGTTTCCCTATGAATATGTATATATATTAAATGTACAAATTAATTCTCGGCTTTCTTCGGCCTTTTTGCAATGAATTTGTCGTTTATAAAAATCACATTTTGACCTGCGAAATAATCTCCGTCAGAATCTGTACACTTTTGTCGTCGATTGGGCCAGCTGGCGAATCCCATGTCGGTGAAAGGACGGTGATTTTGAGTCGATAAAGTCGCCAAATGCTTTTTGAACGTCTGGGCGTTTTGAAATGCGAATGAACCAAAGGGCCGTCTACATCAGAGATTGTAAAGCCAGCGGCACATAACGCTTGTTTCCTTGCTGGATTGCTTGCTAGATAGAAATTACGCGTTCTGGTTGGTGCATTTCCAAAAATGGATAACAATCAAAACGCAGTATTTTTTAGCAAACAGTCCAGCGCGAAAACAAGTATCGTGTGCCGCTGACTTAAGCCTCGTGAAGGTTGCTCTCCAGGTCCGAAATTGACCAATCACGGTTGGTGAATTTCTCAAATCTCACGTCTCAAATTCTCATTGCAGACCCCGCTTGAAACCGCCGTAAAGCAAAGCCGCTCGTCGGCGCGCCGCCCCGCGGCGAACGCCGCAGACTAACTTGCGCGCGCACGCTCGCTGGCGAGCGAGCTTCGCCTGGCGCGCGGCAACCCGGTTTTCGGACGCCTCCGCGGCGGCGGCCGGTCCCACATGTTCCGGTCGCCGTGAACGCTACGGTAGTCTGCGCTCTGTCCGTGATACGACGTGTTGTGTTAACCCTTAACCTCAAACATGAAAGAGCAATACAAAGAGACCGATGTCTCCCGCAGGATGTAAGGATGAATCCGTGTTTACTGTGACTTAATTAAATACCAGAATGTTGCCCGACGAGGGCTGGTTATTCGCATTTTCTCCGCCTCTCTAATGCAGAATCTAACTCTCGTATGATGCGTGTCGTTCACGTGCTTTTTACATACGCGAGCAGCGAACGTGTGACGTTTTTCACGAGCGGAGAAGTTTCACATTTTTTTTTTCTATTCGTTCGTTAAAGTTTACACGATGATCGTGGAAGCCGAGTTCACTCGAGTGTGACTTTTCGCGTTCCCGTTCTCGGGGAGAAATATCACACGATTGCTGTCCTTAAGCGTATACGTTCTTTTTCTTTAGTTCCCATGTGTCCTTCGGAGTGGACAGCCGGCACAGGATGTCGCAACAGGCTCATATACACGTAGTAGCGAAAAACTTGTACAATCAGGATAGCAACCACACTCCGGTCGCCTATGGCGTACTCGATGAACGCATGGTACTCGAAAGTTTCAACATGTTATTTTTATATTTCGAGAGAAATAGAGAGTCGCCGAAACTGACTTTTCTGTCCTTAGGGAACATGTTCCAACGCGAAGAAATGCAGCACATGCGAAGGCAAGCTGAACGACTGCGCGGGACATTTCGGCTACATAGATCTAGAGCTGCCTGTCTTTCACATCGGCTACTTCAGATCTATCATTAGTATCTTACAAACAATTTGCAAGGTAACATCACGTACACACGCGATCCCGAGATTCCCCGAGTCCTCACTGGTTGATTTTTCCAGGGTTGCGCTCACGTCATGTTATCGGCCGACGACAAGTATTACTACAGGTGTAAGGTCTTGAATCCAAATCTGGGCTACCTGGCCCGCAAAGCGTTGCGCAAGCAGATCCTGGAGAAGGCGAAGAAGACGACAACGTGTCTGAATTGCGGTGATATAAATGGTACCGTTAAGAAAGCCGGTATGCTGAAGATCGCGCACGAGAAGTACAAGAACAAGAAGAAACAGGAGAGCATCATCGCGGAGAAATTAGTGAAGGATTACCGCTACGTGGTCGAGCACAACAAAGAGATAAAAAGCATTCTGCAGAACAGCGGCTTGGTTTACATTCTGAATCCGGTGCAAGTAAGAAGATGTTTCTCAACGACTTTTACACTGAACTTCGGAAACTTGAAGAAACTTCCCTTTTCTTCCCATTTATCTTTCAAACTTCGATAGAGCACGCCTTCCACGCGATACATATATGTATATGGCGTGTTGTATCGAATCGACGCGCGAATAATCCTTAAATGATAAAAATATATTATCATTTAAGGTTCGTGAACTGTTTGAGAGGATTCCGGTGTGTGATATTCCGCTGTTGCTGATGAATCGTGAATGTTCAGTACCGCGAGATTTGATACTGACCAGGATCCCTGTGCCGCCGATCTGCATCCGACCTAGCGTCGCGTCCGATCTGAAATCCGGCACCAACGAGGATCCCCTAACGATGAAACTGTCGGAGATCATTTTCATCAATAACGTTATCCAGAAGCACATGCAGAGCGGCGTCAACGTGCAAATGTATCACGAGGACTGGGAATTCCTTCAGCTCCATTGCGCGCTGTACATCAACAGCGAGATGTCCGGGATACCCCTCAACATGCAAGTGAGTGCAATTTTCCAATGCATCACGCGTGTCTCCCGCATCTTTCTGCGTATCCGGCCGACCTGAAGTCCGTCTCAAATCTTTTCCTACACTTGAAAACTTTCTCTCCGGGGGAATGTAGAAAAAAAGCAAGACAAAAAAGATCAGCGGTCCGTACAATACACCGATCGATTCTTTTTTAAACGAGCGAACCAAAGCGATTCCGCGCTTTTCTCTTTGCTTCCCGATGACTTCTCACCCGTTGCTTCCAGCCGAAAAAGTCGGGCAGAGGTTTGGTGCAGAGACTGAAGGGGAAGCAGGGCCGTTTCCGAGGCAACCTCTCGGGTAAACGCGTTGACTTCTCCAGCCGTACGGTCATCTCGCCCGACCCGAATCTCAAGATAGACCAGGTAGGCGTCGCGACGAATCCGACGCTGAAGTCGTTGTGAACCGGGCTTTCAACTTTTGACCGTTTGGTTACTTCAAGGTTGGCGTACCTCTGCACGTAGCGAAGATCCTTACGTATCCCGAGAAGGTAACACCGGCGAACATGCAGTTGATGCGCCAGTTGATTCGCAACGGTACGGACGTGCATCCCGGCGCGAACTTCGTGATACATCAGCAGACGCAAAGGAGGATGTACCTGCCGTACAGCAATCGGAACAAGGTCCTCCGAGATCTGAAGGTGACGCGTTTTATCGATCCTGTCCGTCTTCGTAGACGCTTCTCGGCCGTCTCGTCGAATCGGTAAATCATATCCTCCCTGCCTTTTCCGCGCAGTGCGGCGACGTCGTCGAGAGACACCTCCGAGACGACGACATAGTGCTGTTCAATCGGCAACCGTCTCTGCACAAGCTGAGTATCATGGCGCACAGGGCGAAGATACTGAATCACCGGACCTTCCGCTTCAACGAGTGCGTCTGCAATCCCTACAACGCGGACTTCGACGGCGACGAGATGAATCTTCACCTACCTCAGACCGAGGAGGCGCGGGCGGAGGCACTGGTGCTGATGGGGGTGAGTTGCCGTCACGATCAATGTTCGCGTTCAGCAGAAAAAGCAGTTTAGTAACGCTGCCAGGAAGCTTTTGCAACTGTTTCGCAAGATCTTCCGCTGAACGACACTTGACGGTTTACGATCGGCTCCCCCGATGTGTTTATCGGGCGGTTTGAAACCATAGGTCACGACAGAGAAACGTAAACAGTGAGAAAACCGACCAGTCACAGTCGATTGTTCGACCTTATGAGGAGAATATTTGTGATCGGTCAATTTTCTTGCCGCTTATGTTCTTCCGTGTGCCACAGCTCTGTACTGGAGAAAGTGGCCGGTACCACTCGGCAAACATGTTGGAAAAGCGCGAGGTCGCCGGTGTCGTTCAGAGAATCTCACGACAGTCGTCAATGGCGGCGTTCAGTGGATGAAGCAGCTTAGCGAACACCATCCGCTACCAGCGGCTTTGCAAAATTGTCGCGGTATTTTCTGCTGAACACTTGGCAGTTTACCCTTTCCCAACGCGTGTACTGAGCGGTCCGGTGTGTTAGACACGAAATGAAAGGAACGAGGAATTAAATGTAGGGAGATTAGAAACCGGGGGAATTAAGTTTCAACTTATCGTCAGCCATATTTCGATCTGCAGCAAAGAAATAAGGAACTGGAATTGGGGACATCATTGAAATTCTGTTCTTTGCAACTTTGTGCTTATAGAGCTTAGAAGTTGAGTAATAGTTGACACTCACGAAAATTAATATCTAATATCTTAATATCTATCTCTGTTATCAATATATAAGTGAAAGTCAGTTTGAGTCATTTCGATAACCATCAAGAAAATGATGAGGAGCGTTAATAAGGGCGGAAGATTGGCACACGGTGATATATCTTGGGGCCCACCAGTAATCGTATTACTACAACTGCAATTTAACGATGACAGTGGAGATTCATTAGAAAGTAGCAAACATAGTGATCTCGTTTAAAAACGTTCTTATACTTCATTCTCTACATTGTTTATATTTTAAACTACTTGTTTATTTCTAATACCTTACTCCCGATCTCTTATATTGAATTCCTCGATCCTCACTCCATTCGTCCAGACTGGAAAAGTCACGCTGGAAAAATGAGCGACCGCTCGGTAAACGCGCTGGGAAAGCGGTAAACCGCTGGTGTTATTCAGCGGAAAATCTTACAACAGTTGCAGAGCCGCTGGGAAGCAGCGCGATGGAAAGCGCTCTACCTCATACCTGCTTTTTATTATCGAACGCGTCCGTAATATTCCGAAGAAGAAGGGGGACGAGAGAAAATTGTCATTTCGCGCCCGTAGAACAAATCCAATCTGGTGACACCTCGCAACGGCGAGTTGCTGATCGCGGCTACCCAGGACTTCATCACCAGCGGTTACCGTTTAACGAGAAAGGACACGTTTCTCACGGAGGCCCAGGCTGTTATTTTGGCGAATTGCCTGATAGCCGGCGCGGACGACGTCACGTACGTGACTCTACCTCCACCTGCGATCCTAAAACCGCTGAAATTGTGGACCGGCAAACAGATATTCGGTCTGATAATGCGACCGAATACCGATTGCCCGGTCAAGGCGAATCTAAAGACAAAGGGCAAGGCGTATACCACTGGCGAGGAAATGTGCGTGAATGATTCCTGTGAGTAATCGTTGAGTCAGGTTGTTAAAAGACCGTCAAGGCTAAAGGCGTAAGATATCAGAAATTGACCAATCATAATTGACTTTTCTTCTATAACTCGACTGTGATTGGTCAATTTTCTTAAGACTTCGAGCTTGAAGCATCAGACCGGGACTTATTTCAATGATATCCACAGACGTCGTCATTCGCAATTCCGAGCTGCTGGCAGGCTCAATGGACAAAGCCACGTTGGGCTCGGGCACGAAGCAGAGTATATTCTACATTTTACTGTGCGACTGGGGCGAGGACATCGCGACTTTAGCTATGTGGCGTTTGGCCAAGCTGGCGAGCTGCTTTCTCACGAACGGGGGATTCTCCATCGGTATGGTCGACGTCACGCCTGGTCACGGTCTGCTCGAGGCTAAGCAAAACCTGTTGGACGTTGGGTGAGAGAGCTCGTCATTGTGATCTCGCTCTGTTGAGATATTCCGCGTGGGCAAACTCGCGCTCTGATCGATATTCTGTTCTGTCTAGTTACGCCAAGTGCACCGAATATATTCGGCAAATGGAAGAGGGTCGGCTGGTCTGCCAGCCTGGATGCACGGAGGAGGAAACGATGGAAGTGAAGATACTGAAGGAACTTTCGGCGATTCGTGATCACGGTGGTAAGGCGTGCTTGAAGGAGCTCCCGCCCAGCAACAGCCCCTTGACCATGGCCATTTCCGGGAGCAAGGGCAGTTTCATCAACATCTCGCAAATGATAGGTATGTTAAAAAGGCGGTAATAATAATCACTATAATTAGAATCGGCTCTCTTAGGCGTGCGGAAGACTTCGGTCGATACAGTTCCGTTTCTTAATATTCCGATGCTCGGGGCGGCGGTCATGATGCACAAATACTCAAAGATAATCCGCTCAATTGGGGATTTTCAATGCCACTGTGCCTGAGAAGCCCGACCGCGTATTATCGGAGAGCTTCGTGCAAACATTGGCCAAGATAACATTCCAATCGAGTAGAAATCAAATTAGCGGCTTCTCTTCTCCTCCTGACCTGTATCCTACTAGAGAATCAAAATTCGTCTAATAATACGGCCTGAGGGACCGAGTAGAATGGAAATAACGATCTCAATAGTCTCATGTTCTGACCCGACAACATCGTGCGATTCCATCAGCCTGCGTAGGTCAGCAAGCTATCAGTGGGAAGAGAGTGCCGGACGGATTCCACGGTCGCTCGTTGCCTCATTACGACAGGGGTTTGAAAACACCGTCCGCCAAGGGCTTCGTAGGGAATTCGTTTTACTCCGGTATGATCGGCTCCGAGTTCTTCTTCCACACCACCGGCGGTAGGGAGGGTCTCGTGGACACCGCCGTGAAGACCGCCGAGACCGGCTACATGCAGAGGCGGCTGGTCAAGAGCTTGGAGGATTTGTGTCTTCACTACGACATGACGGTGCGAAATTCCATGGGCGACATCGTGCAGTTCAGGTACGGCGGGGACGGTTTGGATCCGACTTACATAGAGGGCAAGCATCACTGTGAGCTTTGCAAACGCGTCAACTCGCCTTGTTACAATCCCAAGAACAAAGACTCGCCGCTGGACTATCAGCGGGTGTTGGATCATGTGAAGGCGAAGTCGCCGCACAAGGAGGAGGAACCTCTGAACGGCACTGAGCTAACCAGCCTCACGTCCGAGTGGTTTTCCGACTCGGGTCGATTCGAGGATACCGAGGCCGAGGTGAGGGAGGATTTGAGGTGAGTGTGAGAGCAGCGTGTACACGTTTCGAAGCGTGGGCAGATCTCGCGAATTCCGAACCGTCTTATCTTTCCAGATGCTTCCTGGAATGGCTGGGGGTGAGGATCAAGCGTCACCGGCAGAACATGCTGTCGCATTCGCCGGTGATGCTGCAGCTGCACCGTCTCACCGTCTCACAGCTGGTGGAGTTCGTGGAGACGTGCAACGCGAAGTACATAAAAGCGCTGACGGAGCCGGGTACGGCGGTGGGCGCGATCGCCGCGCAGAGTATCGGCGAGCCCGGCACTCAGATGACCCTGAAGACCTTCCACTTCGCCGGAGTGGCGTCCATGAACATCACGCAGGGTGTGCCGCGCATCAAGGAGATCATCAACGCCAGCACGAAGATCAGCACGCCCGTTATAACGGCGCCGTTGGTGAGCGGCTTGTTCCTTTCGGCTGAACTAATGCTGCGGAACGGAACGTTGTTCCCCTTTCCCTTCAATTTCGCTGTATTACGCTTGTACACCGCGGTTTCGAAAAGGCTCGGGACTTTGCTTTTTCGACGCCGGAACACCGGCGGTCCGGTGAGAGAATTTAACTTCTGCGAATCAATGAAGAACGCGTCCCTTCATTGCACCATCGGCTGTGTTCTTCCGAGCTGCACCGAAGAGAAAAAGTGCTGAAACCGTTTCGAAACAGTGTACTCATTTCGTTAAAGCGAGTAGTCTGTTCTTCTTAAAGGTGCAACCTAAGAGGAAGAAGAAATGTTGTCCATCTAAAAGGAACGGACCTACCATCTTGGACACCGACTAATCTTCCTTGTTTCTCTTACAGATGATCGACACGGATTCCGATATCGCAATGCGAGTGAAAGGACGAATCGAGAAGACAATCTTGAAAGACGTCGTGGAATATATCGAGGAGATGTGCCTGCACGACGATCACCTTCTTCTGATAAAATTGGACCTCGAACTGATTAAAGCGTCGAAGTTGGAGGTGGACGCTAACTCGATATGTTACTCGTAAGTATCCTCGGCCGACTAACACGAGGAGATCTTCGGGTATTAACACCTTGAACTACTGGAAGATCGTTCTCGGTGAACGGGATCGTTGGAACGGCGATGATGGATTTATAATCTTGTAGGATCTGCACGTCGAAGCTGCACTTGACCGCGAAAAACGTGCAGACGAATGGCGACTCCATCATCACTATTCGGCCGAATAAGCAGAAATCAAACAACGGACTTACGCAGCTGAAGGAGAGCCTTCCGAATGTCATAATCAAGGTAAAAATGTGTCATTAATTAAACGCGATATGTATCGGCGCGTGCGATATGCCATTTTATAAATACATTATAAATAAATAAATATATAAATTTAAATATATATATTTCTATTTATTTATTTATTTATTTATTTATAACATTTATATACTCTTTATTTTGTAGGGCTTGTCATCGGTCAATCGGGTGGTCATAGATAATTATGAAGACGCCAGTGGGAAAACGAAATACAAATTATTCGTCGAAGGAGATAACTTGAGGGAAGTCATGGCGACGAGCGGCATTCTCAGCAGGAAGACCACGTCGAACAATACCATGGAGGTGAGTCGTAGGAGATCGTACGAAGTCTCGGACGAGATAAATACATATATTCATTGATCCATCGTGTTAGGTCTACAAGGCACTCGGAATAGAAGCGGCGAGAGCAACCATCATGACGGAGATCGAGTCGGTGATGGAGAATCACGCGATAAGCATCGATCGTCGACATCTGATGCTCGTGGCGGATTTAATGACAAGCAGGGGAGAAGTGCTCGGTATTACCAGGCAAGGCTTGGCGAAGATGAAGGAGTCAGTCTTGAACCTGGCATCGGTGAGATTCTACGCTTCCCGTTAACACTTCACGCTCACCTTCACTTTCTCAGTTTAAGTTATTGCAATAATTTTAATAATTGCAATTTTAATTACTTTAATTTTTCGATTTTAATGTGCTCTCGCTGTCACGTCACATACGTGCGACGTTAATTTTTTTTCTTCTTTCTCTATATTCACATTAAAACTTTTCTTTTTTTATATTTGTATAAACATACAGTTTGTTTTATACAACTAAACAAAGACAAATGCAATGTGATTTGTGAGGAAAACTTGCAAAACAAACCGTGATAGCGAATATGTTGAATTTCTCATATTTGTTTGCGCATTTTATGCTTTCACTTCGATACGATATGACACTTTTTCGATTGATCTTGGCTCGAATTTATTAAAAATAGTAGGAAACGCTTCCCTCAAGCATATTATTCGTGTTGTAGTTCGAAAAGACTGCGGATCATCTATTTGATGCTGCTTATTACGGCCAAAGCGACACCATTTGCGGCGTATCGGAATCGATTATTATGGGCATTCCGATACCAGTGGGCACAGGACTCTTCACACTACTTCACAAATATCCTTTTCGTACTATATCCTATTATTCTCTAATGCTAAGTCCTCGTCTGCAACTTTACTTTAAGCGTGAGCAGTAAGCAAAGTTGACCAATCACAGTCGTTTATTAGAAGAATAATTGACCGTGGTTGGCGTTAATTTGTTTACGGCATGCGTAAGCAAATATTTAAATAAGTAACTAAAGTTAATAAATAAAGTAACAAGTAAACATAAGTAAATGTTAAAGCAAAGTTGCAGACGAGGGCTAAGAGTTCGTTATTATTACGCGTTATTATTTCAAGGAAAAAGGCACAACTTTGGTATATTTGATACGAGCATTATTTTCCTTAATGATTAAACACGGCGGACAAGGACGAGCCGCGGAAGAAGGAACTCCTGTTCGACGACCCGCAGTTTCACAAGAAAACCACGAGCGCGAAGAGTTTTCTAAATTAGTTCCATTGTAAATGTTAGGTACTTTATAATAATGAATTTAATAGACCAAGGATACTTAGATTTTTTTAATATGTAACAAAAGGAAACATTTATTCGGACGAGACAAATTCTGCCGCGCAAGATCAATGTATATTACACACACACACACGCACACACACACAACACACACACACACACAAAACACTTTAAATATAGTTATTTTTATGACGAAATATGGTTTATGACTTCATGCGTAGAAATGCGTAGAATTGCACGATGTATGTGCAATAATCTCTCTCTCTCTCTCTCTCGTTGAAAGCGAAGCGCTCGTGCAACGTGAACGACGGTGACATTGGACATTTCGGTTGCCTGGAGACGGCGTACTGTTTGGCCTACTAAATCCGTCGTCTCCGTGTCAACAATCTCTCCGTATTAATCCATCCGACGGAAATGTTGAATTAACGTGCGGCGTGTCGCGGAAATATCCCGGGAGGGAGGAAAAGCGTCGGTATGGTGAACGAGAAAGAATTCTGGACGGAGATTCGTAAGGACATACCGCGATACAAGAAGAGGAAACCGCGGGTCGTACCCGCCTTCACCATCCAGGCTCTGCAGGTGACCGCATTAGCAGCAAGCGGGACGTACTGCGAGGACGGTACGAAGAGGCGTCGAGGCCGTTTGCAAACGCGCGCACTGATCGCACGGTTATTCGCTCTGACTCGCAGGAAAACACGATCGTCGCGAAGCCGCCGCGATGCAGGCCGTACAAACCCCGGCCGCCCAAGCCGTCGACCTTCCGCAAGTTCTACAAACGCGGCCTGCTGCCCATCTCCTTGGAGAACGACGGTTATGATCAGAAGATCAATTGGAAGGTGGACATTGAGGACTTGGACTTCCACCACTACCTGCCGATGTTCTTCGACGGACTGACGGAGACTGAGCAACCGTACAAGTTCCTGGCGGAGCAAGGGATATCGGACATGCTGGAACACGGTGGGCCGAAGATCCGGCCGGTTATCCCTCAACTGATCATTCCTATTAAGAGTACGCTCGGAAATCTAATTGTGAGATATACGAAATGTGAATTCTAACTAGAAAAGGACAAAAGGGTTGTAGGGTTTGGAAGGGGGACGTATCTTTTGCTGGATAAAAAGTTCAATGTCTCGAAAAGTATTCACTTTTCGATGACTTCGCCCTGGTATTTTTATACGCAGAATAAATCGAGAAATCGATTTATACTACAATAAATTATAATTCCATTAAATAAAATGAAGTTGACTTTGACATGACTTATTGACTATTGACGATATTGATACTATTGAATTATTGACGATACAACGAAGTTGAGGTCACCAAAATACGTCCCCCTTCAAACTCTACAACTTTTGTCTGAAACATCTTTTTTGTTATGTTAAAGTTGCTTTTTCGTTACGTTAAAGTATCTCAATTTAAATGCCTCGCCTTATACATACATATATATTTATTTATGCTTTTTTTAATAAAAATTTAATAAAAGTATCTTCGTCAGACGCTTTAAACACGAGAATGCCTGAGATAATTTGTACCACGATGAAGGCTCTTCAACGTTTAGTACGTTCGGCCGATTGCATCGGTGAGGCTCTAGTCCCGTATTTCCGGCAGATTCTACCCATCCCGAATTTGCTCAAAGATAGAAACGGTAAGCGCGTCGATCTAGTTTTCCCCGCGATTGCGATAATGCAGAGAGATGAGAGCACTTCGCGCGATTCCAGTGAATCTCGGAGAGGGCATCGATTATTCACAGCAAAGGGGAGAGAACGCAGCGGACCTCATACAAGAAACGCTGGAGATACTGGAGAGATACGGCGGCGAAGATGCGTTTATAAATATCAAATACATGGTTCCCACCTATGAATCTTGTATGATGAATCAATAGATAGAAAATGACATCACGCAATCCGGAGTAGCGGATTTATTCTTTAAAAGCAACTATAGCCAAATAAAAAATGCGTGTAAAACTCACATAAAAGGAGCGAAGAAGCAACATCTTACTTAAATAACACGTTTAACTAGATTGAAGTATCTATTAAAAACAGCCATGCACAGGACGGACCTGTAACCATTAGAAAAGTTACTTTTTACTCAAGTTTTCCTCAACTTCCATTATCTCGAATACACGCAAGATATCAATAGTTATCGGTCCACACTGTGTAACTCAATGACTCAATAATTTACTAAATATTGCTTAAAGAACCGTTTTTCACACACTATCGAACACAATTTCATTTCGCACGTTATAAAAATTGTAGCAAAAGTATAGCACATTTATCCACATTGATGTAAGAATCTCTCTCTCTCTCTCTCTGGGAACATTCACACTTTCCCAGCATCTTCCTTCAATGTCACAGTGCGATTGAAAACGAGCTGAAATAAAATCAGAAGTTGTTCAAACTGCACGTATATGCACGTCAATGATCTTATATACCTCACCTTGCCGGGTTTGGTGTCAGGATCGACGGAGAAAAAGCCTATACGCTCGAACTGATATTTATCGTACACTTTCGCCGTGCGAGTCAAACTCGCATCCATATACGCTACAACTTCCTTCTTGCTGGCTGGATTGATGTCGCTTAAAAATCCGTTTGGTACCTCGCTCGTGTCTTCCGGATTCTTGTGCTTGAATCTGAAAAATTTAATTTAATGTATTTTAATTGCACGGTTCATATAAAAATTCTCGGTCTTGTACAATTTAATTTAAATTAATTCAATGTACTCTTTATTTGACATGAGTTATTTAATGTAGTTTAATTCAAATTTAATTTTAATATATCCTATATATATATAAATTTTCTTGAATATAATTTGGAAAATTATGTTACTCACAGACGCTCATAAAGTCTAACGGACGCCAACGTTGGATGAGACACCCAGTGTATAAACGCCTTTGGTTTGTTCCTTTCCGAAACAGGCTCCTGCTTGACAGTTATATTCGTAATGTTGCCACTGGCATCTTTCTCGATACTTTGAAACGTTACCACGACACCCGCGTGCTTCAAGCCCACAGGCTGCTTTGGAGTCAAGCGTCGGAAACCCTTTTCTTCAATCTACAAATACACACACACACACAAATTGAAAAAAACTTGCCCCCACACAGAAAACAATAACGTGAACGTAAATCTCTAAAGTGTACCTCTTTAAAGTCCGAAGCTTCTATGTACACGATCTCGTCAAACGTAATTTCGTGACGTCCCTTCTCCGGCTCGTTGGGAAAATCTGGCACGGTGAGTTTGATGGGTTTCTCTTGGGGGAAATTTCTCATGGTCAATTTAATCGGTTCCAGGACGACCATGGATCTGGTAGCGGTGAGGTTCAGAACGTCCCTGACGGTCGCCTCCAACGCTGCCGGATCGACGGTCGCCTGTGCGCCGGTCACGCCCATCTGAGCGCAGAAATTGTTTACAGCTTCCGCTGGGAAACCACGTCTACGTAAGGCAGTCAATGTAAACAACCTGCGAAGAGAAAAATGAGAATTCTACATGAAGATCATAAATGACACATATGATATATTATAATATAGTGTTTTATAAATCAAATATAATACATACAGTGCATATAACGAAATAATAAAAGATAGTATAATTATAATTAAAAGTATAATCATAGAAGAAGAAAGGTAGATAAGAGTCTGTGCGCATTGTGTGTGTATTTCATTAGCAATAAATCGATAATATTAAAAACGATAGTTTGAGAAATTCTTTTTCTTGAATAGTGCACAACGCTGTACCTCACCTGGGATCGTCCCAGTCGGTAACGATTCCCTCCTGTATTAATCTGGCGATTTTCCTCTTGGAAACTACAGTGTAGCTGACGTTCAGTCGACCGTACTCCCATTGGACGGGACAATAGACATCCAAGGCGTTGCACAGCCAGTAGTAGGACGATCTTCGCGACTGGAATTCCTTCGTGCATAGAGAATGAGTGATGTTCTCGATGCTGTCGCACAAGCAATGGGTGTAATCGTAAGTGGGATAGATGCACCATTGGTCGCCGGTCCGGTGATGTGGCAGGTATTTTATCCTGTAAGCGACTGGATCCTGCTTGCCTTCTTCCAGGGTAACCTTCATGCGCAACGTCGCCTCTCCTTCCTCCAACAAACCGTCCTTCATATCCTGGTTTTCGACGAAAAGAAAAAAAAAAAGAGGAAATACAATGAGCGAACCGTAACCAAAGAGACACGCTAAGATACAAAGCGTTTCGTTACGTTGAACAGCTGCAAGCTTTCCTCGACCAGCCTGTCGCGCCAGGGACTCGGCGGAGGGTTGAAACCTTTGATCTCCTCGCCGGACTGGTGACAGACGTAAGCCTGACCTTTCCTTATCAACTCCACCGCCCATTCGTACAGTTGCTGAAAGTAATCCGACGAGTGAGTGATCCTGGCGGGTTTGTAGCCGAGCCACTCCACCATATCCCGTATACCGACGAAAAATTTCTCCTCTTCCTTTTCGGGATTCGTATCGTCGTACCGCAAATAACATATACCGTCGTGAGCAGCGGCATATCTGTGGAATTCATTCGTTTTACAACACAGCTCGTAAAACGTAGCTCGTGAAGCCGGATAGAACGCATACCCGAAATTGATATTGATAGCTTTGGCATGACCGATGTGCAAAATTCCATTGGGCTCGGGCGGGAATCGAGTTCTCACTTTGCCGCCGGTGACTTTCAAGTGTTGCTGCAGCAGGCGATGCGTATTCGGCGTCACGACGTATCCCTCGGTTTGATAATTTTCCCCGGGCTTGTGGAAGTTCACTTTGGTTCTCATGAGTTCGCTTATAGTCTGTGCCTCTGTCTTCTCGTTATTCAATTTCGCTTCCTTCTGTTCTGGAATTTCGTCAATTTCTCATCACCGATAATAGACACGCGTGTCTCTGACTAAAGAAACCGTTCTATATGTATGTTACCTTCTTTCGCAACTTCAGGTTTCTTCACCTTCGGTTGCTTGTCCTTCGGCTGTTTCGCTTGCTTAGGCGCTGGTGCGAGATCGGCGTCGGTTTTCGGGCCCAACAGATCGAGAAACTGTATGTCGAATTCATTCTTCACCGCTTTACCGTCCGCCCACATCAGAATGTTGCGCACCTGCTGCATCAACGGACCGGAATTGAAGCGGTACCTGTTTTTGAGTCCGCCCAGTTAGTATTGTAAAGAAAAGTATACGTCAGCATCGTGAAGAAGTTGATTTTCGAGCGATCGAACAATTTCATTTACCTCTTCTCTATTATCTCACTTTTGTGCGCTTTTATGAATTTCTCCACTTCTTCTTCTATCTGTTCGGGTGAAACTACCACGCCTATACCACAGGATTCCTCGAAATTCGCTATGTTAACGTCGTTGCTCATGTTAGCTAGCAAATAAACCAATGCAGCATCTATCCTCTGTACAGTGTCTAATTTCCTCTCAGTTATATAATCAGTAACAAACGGTATCTTATCCGCAATCTGATTCTTAATCTTAGAAGCTAGATGGTACAACAATATGCCAACATCTTGCGAGATAGGACCGCTTTTGGCAGCCTGAAAAAATTAAATATATTACTTATAAGTAATCCTTTAATCGTCATATCAAGCGATAAACACCTTAACAAAATATAACCAGTTTAGTTTTTTTTTTTCCATAAAAAGAGAATGATTTTAATCCAACTACACGGATGAAGATTGAGATAAAAATGTGAGATAAAAATGCAATAACACAGCGATTTGCAGCTCGATCTCGCATTGGGGTTATCATTAACGGTAAGAATGAAGGTGAATTTAACGCGAAATGTATAGTTTTGTACGCGTAGCACTTGATATTGCCGGACTATCAATTCGCCGGTAATCGTCAGAACAGATTACTAACCTCATTTATAGCCAGCTTAAGATTCTTCGTAACATTTGCGTTTTTTAAAGTCTCCTTAGCCTTCTGTTCACTCAGACCGATCGTTTGGAACAGTCTCACGTCGTTCTCGTTTTCCGTCAGCATTGTTTTCTCTTACTTAAAATGAAATATATACATAAAAATAACTCTACTCAAAAATCATACGGACCACGATTTGCCATATGGATATATGTACGTTCCGATCGGAGTGCAACTTTTGATCTTCCGACACGTTTCATTCAACAAACCACTGTTGTCAAAATTGCGTTATACGGATTGGTCTAGGTTTCTTCGGACCGTGTGAGTGGGCGAATCGGCAACGCGTCCATAGTTACGAAATTCTCCATGTGTTACCTAACCTAACCCACGTAGTAGCTTCCTCGTTTATATAGCATTTATTACGCTCGATTCTTTTCACGAGTACACGACCGTCGTGTTTCAAGCGCTTAAACGGAGAAAAATAAGCGGAACTAATAACGTACAATATTTAAAACCTCATTTAAAAGAATCTCATTTTCAAAATATTTTGCTCCGTATTCTAAACTCACTTTTATCGATAAAAATTCTTTAAATATGGCTTCTCAATCAATGAGGTGGTTTTTAAGCCACTTTCAGAGGCACTTTTACCGATAAAAATGAGTCCAGAATACGACTATTTATATATATATATATATATATATTTATAATTTAAAACATGAAAAAAGGAGATTATCATAAGAAAGTGCAGAAGGTGCAATTAAGAAACAGCTGATTCGAAATAATGATAGCTACACACGAACGCAGGAAGGTTTGCCGCGCGACAAGAGAAGCGACCTGGTAGCCAGTAAACTTTCGGTTTCCACGGGAAAGCGGCGCGTTGATTGGCTACCGTGTCGCGTCTTGCCGCGAGGGCGAGCGTTTCTTCATTCAGTGTGCAGGAACCATAAAATCGGTGTGTAAATACCGGCTGATTCTCACTGACCTGAGATGATCGCGAGATGCAGCGCGTGTTATTCGTCTCGATAAGGTCTGTACACGCGTGATTAATTAACAGCTCATTAATTCACCAGAGCGATTTAATAGTGGCGGTAATTTCAATCAGCGGCGTCCTATCATCCTCGGGATCTCTCCCGAGATCGATCGACTCGCCGATCGATCTATGATGATTTTTATCTACGGCCTTCTCCATACACATAGATAATTTGCACACGGTTTCTACCAGTTGAATTATTATCTGCAAACGATGAGCGACAGCGACGACGATCAGCCACGTTTAAGCTCGACCGCGCTTGCCGCGCTGGAGGAATTCCTGAGGGAGAAAGAAGAACGGGAGAATTTTCTGAAAAATGTATCCGAGGAAAGTCAGGTGTCGGGTACGCTCTTCGGCGAGGATTGGGTGAGTCGGCGAAAGTGTCAGCGTGTCAACGCGATTATTATATTGATGATAGAGTTTCGTTCGTGTTGTAAAGAAATGAATATTAATTGATATTAATGTTACAGCAATTGAGCCAGTTTTGGTACGACGACAGGACGATAGAAACGATCGCCAGAGGTGCCTTGAATTCGACACCGGCAGGTGGAAGAATCGCTCTGATCTCTTGTCCAACTCTCTACAGCGAGCTGAAGAAGAAATCAGGCGGAAGAGAAAGTACGGTTGCGAATATAATTTAACAATACTCGAATTTCGAAAGTGTGGATATCGATCGAGTAATTTCGCTTCTCGCACATGAACGGTATGTAATTGTTTCTCAATTGCAGTTAAGCTCTTCGAATACGACAGTCGTTTCCAAGTGTTTGGTGCGGATTTCATAAGGTACGACTACAAGTTTCCCTTGGACGTGCCCAGGGACATGACTAGGCGGTTTGATCTGGTCATAGCGGATCCACCGTTCCTCTCGGATGATTGTCTGACCAAGACAGCTGTGACGATCAAGTTCTTGACGAAGGGGAACGTTGTACTGTGCACAGGTGCGTGTAAAATTCCATTTCTATAATAATCGCTCTCGTTATACGTTTTGTTGATTTATGCCGATTGTAAACGCGTGAATGTTTCCCCCACAGGAGCCGTTATGGCGGAGTTAGCCGAGAGACTGTTGAAGGTCAGGAAATGCAACTTCATGCCGGGCCACAAGAACAATCTGGCGAACGAATTTTATTGCTACTCAAACTTCGATTTCGACAAGTCTCTGGAATGAGCGAGCAGTATTTCTGAAACAGTATTATTTAACGACGATATACATTTGTATTTGATATCAGTAGATACTTGTAAATACGTAGGGACGCGTTTGTACTTTTTTTTTTAAAGAGACCCGCGCGGCCGCGCCTGGACGACCGTACGATCGACAAATCGTCAGCTCGAATTTTTATCGAAGATTTTCAATTGTGATTCCGCGCTACCCTTTTCAATCACAGTGTTCTCAGGTATTTATCGACTTATTATTGCGAAAAGCTGCGATCAATGAATATGAATATAGTAAATGTAAATATAAATGAAATAAAATATAGATGAAATAAGTGAATATAAATATATTGGATTTTTCCAAATGATACAATCATATTGGATCGGAGCGGGAGGAAGTTACCTGGGATTGAAAGTTCGCGCTCCTCACGGCCGTTTTTCGAATCGATCGCAAGCGGAACGACCCCAGGGGACGAAAGTTTCCAGGCCGGCCGTGCGGGGAAAGTCCCTATACACGGTGTCGCATCCGCGAAAAGAAGACACGCGATGGAAAGCGTAAATATTTACATCTCTTGAGTGTACGCTGGAGCATTTTTTTATTTGTAATCATGATAGACGGGAACATCTCGATGGAGGAGGACACGGAACTACGGGACCTGGTGGTGCAAACCCTGGAGAACAACGGCGTCCTCGCTAAAGTACGGGTGCGTCATGGGGATATGTCGTGGAAAGAGAGGAAAAAAAAAAGAAAAAAAAAAGGGAAAACGATGCGAGGAGTCTCTACCCTCGTGTAGGTTAGAAGACGTGCTTATTCGGGGGAGCGGATTTTGAGAAACGTGTTAAATGAAATTCGCGCTCTCTGCTTACCGTCCCGCCGCTTTCTCAGAGCTCTCTTTTTTTGTCTGATGTTCGCAGGCGGAACTCAGGGCGAGCGTGTTCCTGGCACTCGAGGAGCAGGATTCGGTGATGGTAGGTCGTTCAAGTCGCTCATGCGTGCCGCGATAAAGCGGCAAACAAAAAAAAAAAGCCTCTTGTTTACAATTCCTTGCGCTTGACTGGCTGTAACAGCTCCTCATGCATGTCGAATTAATCTATCCTGTCTCTTCTCTAAGTAAGACCAGCTCTTTATCGTGCATGACAACTCGTTTCACGAAGAAGCAGCGAAGTAACGTCGCTTCTTTCTCTTTTTTTATCTCCCAATGTCGCGAGACAGCCTCTGTGAGGGAGAGATCGCGCGAGAACTCAGCGACGGTGTGAAGTTTCCATAGCAACGGAGTGTGTGATTGTCTTTATACTTTCAAAACGAATGTTCCAGAATCCCGAGCCGCTTCTCAACAAAACTGTAAAGCAGTACCTGTCCAATTCAGAAGGAAAATTATTGTTTTGCTTGGTTAGGGAGTTCCTAGAATACTTCGGTCTCGACTGTACTATATCCGTGTACGATCCCGAGACGTACTTCGGAAAGGAATACAATTACGTAGGAAGGAATAAGTTGTGCGAGGAGTTAGGTATCGACTCGACCGAGCCGTTGCTCGGGGAAATTCTCAAGAACAGCATCAATGGTGCCTTTAATAGTACACTGAAGGTATTTGAGATCCTTACGAGGTTGAATTTTATTCCAGATAGATATTATCCCTCGTCTTCCATTTTCTCATTGCAGAGTAAAAGTAGCAACAGACACGACGAGACGACGGACGAAGCCTCGACGAACTTCGCGAACGCCACGTTCGAGGTGTCCGTGCCCAAGGTGATACACAATGAATCCGTATCGTCGTCCAACGACAATGACTCCTCCGAGAAGTTGGAGAGCAACTCCGAGCAGAGCCCGAAAGTTCCAATAAACGTGACAATAACGGACAAGAAGTGCAAGGAGGCCGGCGGCCACGTCGCCACGGACACGTCGGATCGCGATAAGCAGCGATCCTCTCTCAGGGAGAACGCACCGGCGGACAACAATGACGGAGGGATTGCGAGTAACAGGAACAATAACGTGAATTTTGATAAAACCTCTACATGCGCGCCGACGACGGCGAGCGTCGCCGCGTCGCCGCGGGAGAACGACACGATCGCCACGTCCAATCAAACGGGTCCGTTGAACAAATCCGAGTCCTTAATTAAGTTCGACGATTCTATAGTGATCGACACGCAAACCAATCAAAGCGAGGATATAACTAAGCAGAACAGTATAAATAGTCTGGAGCTGAGCATAGGCAATAATGTACAAAATAAGAAGCCGTTGGTGAACGCGGGGGGCAACTTCGGCAAGACTATATATTTCGACGAGATCATCGTCGACGGCGAGCGGAGGAACGTTAGTACAATGAACAAAGCGGAGTCTTTTTTAGAGGATCTGCCGGCCATCAATCAGAAGGCTGGCTCTATATTCGGCGATTTGCCACCGCTGAATGGCAAGAAGGCCAATATCAACGATCTCAAGGAGTTGATGGATATCGGTCTTGGTGAGTGTTATGAACATATTTCTAACAATAGTAATAACGCGCGATATTTTGTCACATCCGTCGCGTCATCCGCAAGTTTCGCGTTAACCCTTTCGCTACGGCAGAGTCCGACCGGACGTCCAAGGCGGAATCTAGTGTAGCGTAAACAAGTTTGCACGCCGTTAACATCGTGCAATTATGTCGACCGGATCGACCAAAGTCGTTCTTAACGCGTCAAATTGCGTCTCGCCGACGGACAACTGTAAGCCGCGCTCGTTTTCGCGAGTCGTAAGTATCGGTTTGCTCCGGTTACTCCGGGAAAGTCGCTTCCCACTGGCTTTCATCGGCTAGACGTTATCTCAAGATAATCCTAAAGACAAACCGGTGCCTCCGATTTGCAATAGTCGCCCTTAGCATCGCGAGATTGCTTCACAACGAACGACCGGTAGCCGTTCGGTAGCGGAAGGGTGGAAGGAAGCGAATATTGAAAGGCGGAGCTCTTAAGAGGCAGTCTTTGCAGCTACGGACGGCATAGATAACTACGAGGAGGACTTCGTGTCGTCGGCGTCCGGCAGCGCGAACGAGCAGAGCCCGGCGAAGGAGCCGGACAAGATGGACAGCTCGCGGAATCCGCGCGCGAAGAGGGAGGACAAGGCTCAGAGCGGCCGTACCGAGGATCTGAGCGAAGAGATCGAGGAGATGGACGAGATCTTGAGTAGTACCTCCTGTGTAAGTAAGCCGACCTCTTAAATTGAATCTGACGCGCGCGAGAAAGAGACACCGCTGTTACTACTCGCAACTGCACATATCCCCCTCCCACCCGTATATATGAGTTACACGTACGTAATTATATATTGTATACATATATAGAATCGTTATATATTTTAGCCGGAGGATACGAATACGGATAAGAATATGTCAAACTTTACGACGGGTATTACCGCGGATTACATAGAAGAGATGTAATATTTCATCTCACGTGTCACGTGCGCGCGGAGATCCTATCCCGTAAGAGCTCTAAGGGGGTTGTTTCTCGTGTAATCCTCAACGACGAGATATCCTGCCCGCTAGGGCGCGTCTCGCGTATGTCTGTATGCTATTACTACTACTATTACTATTATTACTATTACTATTACTATTACTACTACCGTGAGGAATTCAGAAACTCGCAGAATCGAAGGTCGCACGGTTTCTGATCCAAGGCACTGCCAGCTGTGGCTCAATACTTATATAAGTTGCGCAGCGAGATGCGAGGGCAAGAGGAAAGAAAAAAAAAAGAGAAAAACCACACGAGAAAATGAAACGTAGAAGGTAAAAAGGTTTGAATGCATATTTCAGCAATAGGCGATATTTTTCTACAGTTTGTAAAAAAAAAGAAAGAAGTAAGCACACCGAGGTGATCGATAAGTTCACAATAGGACACGCACGTTCGAGCAAACGCGTTCACACTGACTCTTGACTCGACGTTGAAAAGGCGGGTCGAGGAACGGCCGGTCACGTGTCGCGGACATTCATTCTCTCGTAGGCATTCTGAAATATTGCACAGTTAAGGAAAGCAATATAATCAATCGACGTCTGCTTCGCGACATTCGATACGTAAGAAGATACACAAGAAGACGTGTTCGTGAATGGCTTTCCTTTTAACTCAAAAAATACTTCTCCCTTTGCCGTTCGTCACGATAACAAAGACAAAAATAAAACGTTGCACGATAAACGGGTCGTGCAGAATCGCATGTTTCGGGTCGCTACCGTTCAATTATAAAATACGCATAAAATACGTATTCTCGAAATCTCTTCATCGACATCTCGATGAAAATATCATTGTGGGATGATAACGGTTAAGCTAAATCTCCCGTTTCACTTGCAACTTCAGACAGGCTAACATACCTTCTACGTTGTTATGTAAAAAAGTATGCTTAGTATTATTACTCTTACGTAACGTGAAGATTACACCAGCGTTACGATAATTTAAATATTAGGGAGGTGTCACATAAGCGAGATACTGCTTGTTAGTAACTTGGTTACACACATTTCTCTTCTTTCTTTCCTTCTTTTGTTTTCCTTTCTTTCTTTCGTTTTTTTTCTTTCTCTTTTTTTTTTCGTAGGAGATCTATTAGCGTTCTACTGTGTTTACCGAAATATCTCTGTCTTTAATTTTACGACTGAACATTGTCCATTACCTCATTTACACAAAGTTACTGATACGATATTGTAATGATATCAGGAAATCGTCCGTCTAGAAATGGATTGCCTAAAAAATCCATCAAATTATTTTCTCGAACATAATGGTGCTAAGTGTTTGATGAAGCTAAAGTTATTTATGAGAGTTAACGTTGTCTATGAAAGAGAAAAGAAAAAAGAAGAAAAAAGAGGATTAGGTGCTTATATATATTTTCTTGCATCCATGATTCGCAGGAAATTATGATTAGCGAAAACTGCGTAGAGACTAGGATTATTAATTTTTGGCTGATCCAACTTTCGCGATGTCGAAAAGAAGAAAAAGGAAAAAATGGGGGAGGCCGATGGAAAAAAGGGAAATATGGTTGAAGGTTTAACATGGATAATATTTCGTGCCCCGTATAAGATGCAATAACTAAGTACAACTCAACAAGGTGGAACAAGACTAGACGCTTGACAAATCAAAAATCCCTTTTGTAAAAAGAACAGGAGAACTGTATAGCCAGCCATCTTTACGAAGGAATTCTCAGCAAACGGGTAGAGAGAGAAAGACCCTATACGTTGTAATATTACCGATATTAGAGACCACGGTTGGAACGAAGAAATTCCGTCACTATAGATAAACGTCCAGACTTCGGTTGCCGATGTGTACGACGTTCGTGATGCAACGATCCGTCGACGAATTCTGGACGGCAGAGAACAGCAAAGAAAAAAAAAACAAACAATATATCTATCCACTTTTCCTATGCTCAAACAGACCGCGGCATTTTGTACTGCATACCACTTCTCCAAGGCTGCATTTAATTGTGTTGTCGTTCTATCGCGCGCGCGCCCACACACACACACACACACGCGCGCGTGAATCTGCGAATTCGTACTCGACAACAAATGTCACGAGATAAATGGATTTATTTTGATACCACACACAATAATATTGCGTATGTGTGCGCATATATATATATATACGTAGTAACGGAATCGCTTCGGTTCGGACCGCGCCGTTTGTCCCGAGATATACATTGAAAGAAAAATGAAAAACAGGTGTGTTCCTGGCCAATCAGCGTGGTTACATTTATTATCGACACAGTTGCGCATATATATACGTTTTATATAAACAACGGGATTTTCAGGACTGCATTGAACATTCCTACGCTCTGTCGAGTCTAAAGAATAGATACATTCCATTGTTACTAAGGTAGTCGTAACTTTCGTTGCATCGTTACCATTAGGCAGGCACAGATTAAAGGAGAGATAAGTATTTCTCATCGTAGGTTGTAGAGGGATAATTTAAGGTGCGTCTCAATCCTTTCATCAGAAGCCACAGAAACGGGATTCCTTTCTTTCTTTTCTTTTTTTATTTTTATTTTTCTTTTTACCTACACGGAAAAGAGGATCTCAGTTCGTATAGCTGGAGAGGGACCGGACGGCGAAAATTCGACGAGAGGCGAGATCTCTCGGTTGAAATGATAAATAACGGAAAATAATACAATTGAAACCGAATAGATATCTCCCGGAATAAGGAAGTTTTCTGTTCTTCTCGTTCGGTCCCTAATCTTCCCGGACAACGAAACGCTCGGGTTACACCAACAGAGTCGAGCTCGTTTCCCGTGTGTGTGTGTACTCGAATTTTCGAATTTTCGGACAAGAGGGGCCCATCTTTGAGGTCCCTCGAAATTAATCGCGGTCGTACGCGCGCGTTCGAGTGTGCACGCAATTTCTAATCAGGCGATTTTTCAGAGGTTCCGCTTGAAAATTGAATAAACCTCCGACAAACGAAGGCGATTCGAAATTGCTTGTGTATCTTTCTCTCTCCTTCTTTTTCCGTTTTCCGAAGGATGTTGAGCAGCGTTGCGATTCTTCCGTGCGTGCTTGCGACGTCAATGTATCCGGGAGGATGCGTAAAAAAAATCCACTTCCGAAAGATACGAAGTTCGAAACGTAAAATCGTCCGTCTCTCTCGTGTTCTACTCTTAACGTCTTATCGCATTCGTCGCTCGGCGCAGCTTTTTCGCGTTTCGTTTGCAGGAAGAGCATATATCCGAGACGCGAACAACGCGTGATACGAAAATCGAATAATTTTATTGCGAAAAAGAAACGTATGTACATATAACAGTGGTTTTTTTCATGCACATTTCATGGAGTGACAACCTCGACTATTTTCTCAGTATAGGTAACCATCACACACACATTAGCCACATAGTCACGTAGTCTACTCATAATAATCTCCAGTTTGAAGTCTCACGAACAAAGTATTAAATGCCCGCTTTACGGTATTCCTTCGGTATTCACGGACCGATAATTATTTTGTAACCACGTTGAAACATTGGTAGCTATACCGTGCCTTTTAGTGTGTATGAAATAATTATAAAAAAGAATGCAAATAAAAGTACTGTGGAATTGTGGGTTTTACAACAACAACAACAAAAAAAAAAAGAAACACCTATGTTACTTATTTATGATTTTCAAGTGTAATGTAATAATATGTATTCATGTATATGTTATTTATTTTATAAAGATTTTTCTCTTTTGCACTCGTCGTCCACGTTAGTTCACCACTTGCGTGTCTGTATACCTGTCATATCCCTATGTGTACAGTTTTATATACCATCATCCCTTCTAGAATGACGTACGATACCGTTCTCCGTGGTAATTCAATAGTTTGCGATATCAACGAAAAGTCGTTTAGTGTACGCGTTTTTTTTATACGAAATATGTAAGAAATAATTGATCCTAAGCACTTTCAACTGCAGGTGATAGACGATATTGTACAACTTAACCCGTATTCTACCACTGTATGTGTATATGTATATATATATATATATATATATATATATATATGTATATATATTCGCAGGTACGTGTATATACACATGCACACGTAAAATACAATTGTGCATTAATTACTTTACAATGTACCGTGTTTGACGATTTCTGAATAGCAAAGTGTGTACATATATATATAGATGGCCCTTCTTTATTCTAAAAACGTTCTCGTGAACAACGTACCCTTTTGTTTGTTGCTTTTACATAAGAAAATGCAGTATGTACAATATACTATGACACCTGTTGATGACGAAGTTCAAAATTACACCTGCGGCGTAACAACAGTAACAGTGAATGGTCCGATTGAACCTCCGTGCATTACATCCTGTTACGTTCCCGCTGAATTCGATCGCCGTACGCTCTCGAAACGAGATTGAAGGAGTCGATGTATCGGTCCATGCACATTGCTAAGCATTTCTGCAAAAAAAAAGCAATAATCCTCTCAGGTGAGACAGGTCGAAATGCGAAAACCAATGTTCTGTTCTCTTTCCTTGAACTGGCTGCACTAGTTCAAGAAATCTGCGTGCGCATTGAAACACATGAAGTGTACATACGAGATTCTCGCACTTTAGTATATATAAATTTCCTAAAGCAATTCAGCTGAAACAGAACAGACCGCAGCGAAGCGTCAAAGGTTTGAGATTGCATCAGACAACGAAGGGGATTCACCTGTTCCGTGCTGTCCAGCGTCGTGCCCGGCTTGAGTATGCACTTTTTGAAGCACTTTTCCGTCATTTTCTGCAAACACGCGTGAAAACATGTAACATTTAGTCAGGCGAACGCGAGGGGGGGGGCGAACCCCCGTTGTGTAACGCAAATGTATGCAGTACCACGAGCAGCTCCTGGGTATTAGCGACGGCTATCTGCTGCTTCAAATTCTGCATCAGCTGTTCCCTCTCCGAGTCGGACAGATTTCCTTCCATACTTTCGGTTCTCGGGGCGGGGAGGGGGGATTATTTCGGCGGTGATTAAAAACGAGAAACTGCTAGTACTCACAATTCGCGAGTACGAGTCCCACCTAACCTATGACCTAACCTAACCGAAGCTGCGGCCGGCGGTCGCACGAGTGGTAGCACGTGAATCAGCTTGTCGTGGCGAGTGAAAACTCGCTCGTTCGCGGTAGTATCAGTCGGTTAACGTTACCGACGCGACGTGGCGCTCGCGTCGCGTTCGTCGATCGATCATCGCCGACACACTTCCGCCATTTTCAAATTTCGCATCAAAACTCGTGGAACGTTCGTTCGAGACGTTCATCGCGCGAAGCTGCTCGTGCGTTTTTCCCCGACGGAAGGGACGACGAGAAGAGGAATCCGTAGGATGTGAACACGAACGTTGATATTCCCGCTGTTTCCTCACTTGTTCTTCAAGTCGCAACGGGCGACATTCGAGTCGATATACGAGTAAGGGAAGGGAAATGGCGAGAAAACGTACGACCATGTCACGAGTTAAGAAGGTAACGTTAAGTATATTCGCCGCTGCCGAATCGGTGTGACGGATTGATCGAACGACTTGTTTTGTTGCCTTCGAAGATACGTCAAGATTTAACGGAGTACCGGACACGCGAGGAGAAGAAGCGGGAGATCGTTCGGTCTCTGCGACAAGCGACGAGCTCAGTGGACGATGCTTGCGATTCGAACGGCACGGGTAAGTCCCCAGGCGAGACGGCGATTCATGACGACGTCGAAAACTCGTATGGTGCTCTCCATTCGGTGACACGAGTCGGCACGAACACCATTTCTTCGCCTTTGTTCCGCATTCAATGAATAACAAAGATAGAATGACGCTTGTGTCGACTTGTGTCACCAAATGGAAAGCACCGATAGTCTCTGTTCTGGAAATAGTTGCGTGCACGTAAATGTCGTTGCGTAGCAAGTATGATCCTCAAGCGGCACAGAAAGCCGTGTAAAAATGAAGATGACATCAATGAGTAATCCAGTAAGTTAGAAATCACTGACACGATATTGTTATTACAATGATCTTTTATAATATGTAACGTTTTCAAACATGTGCTTATAATGTTGCATACTACGTCATTGTTAACGATATTTGATCGATGCTTAATTATTATTTCACATTTTTTAATTATTTTTTATTATCTTAGTATTTTGTAAAATATGCTAATTATTATATTATATTATTTAATTCTTATTTACTCACTATAAAAATAATGATGTCAAGAAGCGCCAAATGAATGTGACAAATTAGTAAGAGCTGATTTTCATAATCAAGTTTCCTGAATATGAAATATCTTTTCTACATCTTTTCTTTTTTACAATATATTTACTATACACGTCCGAGAGAATCGAGAGTAAAAGAGAATCGAGGGTAAATTAGCTCTTACGTTAAACCCACTCGAGTCGAAAGAAAAGAAACGTTTTCGAGATCTCGGAAAGAAAACTTGTCCACCGCTTACATTCCTCGTATTGAGAATAAAACGACGTATCCCTCGTTTCAGAGCGTTCGTTTCGCGCGAGAGGCAAGACGCGAGTGTACCCGAAGAAAGTCTCCGTGTTCGTTCAAGCGGACGCGAACAAACGCGGCGATAACAACGAATGCTATCGTTGTGAGCATTTCTCGAATATCCCGTCGAGCCTGCCCCAGCCGTCCTGTCCGAGAACAGCCGGCCTAATAGGTCAGTGCGAGGCCGACATAAGTTTCGTCCAAGCGATCGTTTGGCTCAAGTCGAGCATCGCCTGCGTCTCTCAGTTGTCGGTCGAGCAATTGCAACGAGTATTCCACAGGCAGTGGGGCGCGCAGGATGACCGTTCCGAGAAGAAAGGCAGCGACAACAAGCAACGCGCGAAACGACTGAAATCGCCTCCCGCTAAGAAGCCCCCGACGAGGCCCGAAATGATCGACACCCAGGATATATTCGAGATGTTAACTCCGCGGAACGCGTTCGGCTCGTCCCGTGGTTCTACGTGTGAAAATTTCCTCCGCTTCGGGCCACGCGCCATTTCCGGAGAGGCGCAAGTCGAACTTTTCAGCTTGGCCGACGAATCGTCCACGCACAAACCCTCGGCGCGAGACAAGTGCGCCAGTTGGATCGTGGAAAGCAAGGGGAGGGAATCTTCACCGGAGTCTGACGCGATCTCAATGGCGGTCGAGGAGTTGCTGCTCGACTCGGAATGGGATATGTCTCTCAATGAGACGTACGATAGATGGGCGGAGTATCAAATAGGGAAGCGTAAGGTCGACGATGTCGCCGAGTGTTCCGCCCAGCCCGCGTCGGAGAGGGCGAAGAAAAGAGGAGAAGCTGCGGGTAGCTCGAAGGCCGATCCCGGAAACGAAGCCGATGCGATGAAGCCGCGATCGCTTTCCGGAGACAACTTCGCCTTCCTCGTTCACTCGACTGTCTTTACACCCCTCGTGGATCAAACGAAGAAACAGAAACCCACCTCGTCGACGATGACGAGTCAGTTCGACGAGACGAATTTCCCCCAGTTGGATTTCGACTTCGACGACAGTTTCATCACACCGACGGTGAAGCAGTCGAAACCGCTCGACTGCAGTCTCAGAGATTTCCCTCTGACTGCGGAGAACGTCTCTCCAATCAGTGTCACCGACGTGGAATTGGGGGAGCCGTCGAGTTTGAACGATTTCCGTACCTCTGGCCGATCGGCTGCTCTCGATAACGACGAGTCCGAGATCAACGATCTCGGCGAACTGCCTGACACACAGATGACGAGCGGCGGTGCGAAAAATCCGGCGTGCGACAGCGCGTACAGCACGTCGCACGTCGAGCCACGCGATGAAAAGCCCGCCGCTGTTGAGGATCGCCCGCTGCTGCACGGCGTTGCCTCGCGTCGTTATGACCTGCGATCCCACTATAAGAAAGCAATCACGCCCACGGAGGAAGGCGCCACTTCGACCGCCTGTTACATCTGTATGGTAACACCTTGTCGATCAATCAATTTTATCACCTCAGCTGTTTCGTCCGGAAGGCGACTCGGCTTGCAAAACTTAATCCACCACTCATCTCATCCAGATTCAAATTGAAACCTTTTCTATTCAGCGTCTTATCCTAATACACCTGATATCACGCGGTTATACTAATATCACAACGTATCTTCCAAGACGCATCGAGAGCGATCCCCCGCGAGTAAACGTGAGCACGGGCGTCCGCGTAAGGAGAAGATGATCTCCAGCAAGTGGCTGAACTTCACTCTAGAATCGCAGAACGTGGAGCACGTTGTCCTCGAGTCGGTCGGAGTGATCCTCGCGACCCTCGGCAAGCAGACTACGGCGGCGGAATACGCGACGTACAGCTGTTGGAAGGACACTCTGTTGGAGAAAGCCGTGAACGCGGTGCTGAACGTGTCCGACGTTCTCAGGCTTGAAAGGAAGCCCGACGTATGCAGGAAAGAGATCGTAACGGCGGTGATCGAGACTCTGGACGAGATAGCCTCGTGTACGCGATTGAACAAGGTAAGGTGATGGAAGGTACGCTCGAATATACATATGAGAGAAAAGACGTATGTCGCGATATCTTTAGGATGTCCCTCCCTCCTGTGTATCCGCATAGGATAAGAAAAAAGAAATAGCTTATAATCATATCACGGGTAATAATTATTACACACCGCGCACCGCTTTTCTTTGTCCAGCATAAATTTGATCTACTATCAACAAGTCGATCCATGCGAGAAAGCATGGGTGCGTATAGACGCGTGGCTTTGCATAATTTTAACGTTAATAAATTAACTTAATATTAACTTAACTTCTAATTGAGTTAACCTCGGTTTGGGTAACCTTTGACTTGATTGAGCTGATTTTACAGGCTGTTCACTTTCAACCTCACGCTTAGTTAAAAGTAAGAATTAGCACATTTAAAGCCCTAACAACAAATAATACCCCCTCTCGAACATTTTTCCCAGACACCCGTATGCGACGTGTCGATATATCGCGTGCAGATAATTTTGGAGCTCTGCAACTCGGTGTCGGTGAGCGTCCCGATAATCGATCACCTGATAGCGAGGCTGAAGCCGTTTCTGGTCGCGCTGAGCCGCGACACGAAGACTCGGCTCAGGCACGCCACGGTCCAGTTGCATCTCGTCTTTTATGCGCTTAATATCGCTCTAAGGAAGTACCGCACAGTCGTGCCGAACGCTCGGAGAACCGGTGAGGAAATCGCGATACCTCACGTCACGGATCTCTGGAAGACGCGCTACATCGACGAGGAACTCGAATACGCGAGGCTGAATGTGAACGACGCGGAGAAGCGATGGCGCGCCGCGTTGGAGGACTGCGCGTCCGCGTTCACGCCGCGCTTTGTGCGGTTCGCCGAGAAATCGCTGTCACTGGCCCACACGCTGATCCCGCAGTAGTAGATCTCAGGCGAAACCTAGTAGGTTTCAGACGAGCCTTTCGCTCTGAACGTTAAATTGTAATTTCCATAAATTTGCCGCAATGTGTGCGAATTCTGCGAGTCAATTGTAACGTAATTTCTCGCAGAAAGCGTTTCTCCAGGACGTCGCAGTTCTTAAGATTTAAACGTTATTACGACCTTTGGCACGCGAGGGGAAACGCTTCCTGCCAAAAATTACATTTTATTACTTGGGGCAAAAGGCTGCACATATCTGCTGTACGTCTACTATTGCAGATTCGGACTTGTACCAAGGCTGTATCTAAGGTGCTTTTCATTTTCTAACGCAAGTCTCGACTTAAACATCATCCTGTCTTTCTTCCATATTCGATGAATGATAAAAATTGAATGATATTTGTGTCGCTAAATGGAAGATCGCATTTCTTGGTTGACTTACATTCCGTCGAATGAAAATTAGATGTAGGCGTTTTTGTTTTCGACTCTGCGTCTTAATTTTCAAGTTGTACTTTCGTTCGTAATAATATGCAGATGAGGATATTGATGCTGCCGGTGCTATACGGTACAACATTAACTACAAAAATAGTTTTGCTGCGATTCGCGGTCACGAATACCAGGCGCTTTTTCTCTCAACGTACCGCAAGCACCAAGCTAAACAAATTCAGTAACGTTAAGTTAAATATCAAACCGCCGCTCCCGCACCAATTCGCAGACCCGCTGCTGTCCGACGAATTGTTCTTCTGGAGTGACAACGGGTCGGCGTCTTTCGCTCCCGGCGTTGAATTCTCGGTGATCCAGCCGCACAACGCTCGCGGATTCTGCGGTATCAGCTCGAAAACGACGTCCAGTAACGTTTGTAACGGGCATATCTCCGTACAGTTCGGCAACGACAGAGCGATCGTTGTCTCGTCGACACCGGTGTAATAGTTAATCTGAAATCGTTCCCACACACGTTTCCACAAACGTTTATTGGACATTTTAACGGACGGAGTCGCAAACGCAAATCGAAGCGGATCATACTTAGTATGAGATAAATACTTTTGTCGCTTTGTATAAGACAAACTTTTAACTGTTTTTCCTGTCTCCCTACCGAATACGAACGTTGTGAGATAATACGTTCCGCGTGAATGTACTTTAAAGTACTTTACGAAGTTATTATTATTTATATGTTTTGTAATCATTTATCATAATTATATATCACATGATTACTATCAATGTATATATTATTTTTTGTTACATTCAGCGGGTAGAATAGTTCGTTACCTTGATCCCGTATGTGTCCGTGTCGTTGTCGAGATACAGTTCGAAGATCAACGCGGCCGCTTCGTTGGGAATGTGAGGCGACCAGAGGTCGAGATTTCTCAGCACCCCGGCGATGTTCCGCCCGTCGCCGCTGTACAGCATCATTTTGCGATTCTCCGGTATCTCGCCCGACATGTATTTCAACGAGTTGCCGACGATCTCCGCTAAGAAGGTCCCACCGTTCAGCTGCCTCTGAAGAAGAGTCGCTGAGAGGAGATCGTACTCCGACAAGGTCACGTTGTACATCGTGCCGTGGGGAAACACGTCTCTCGCCCAGTGGGGCAGCATCTCATCCTGATCAGCCTGGATGTCAGTCAGACGTTTGTAAGGAATTATTAAGAAATGCAGGAGACTCCAAAAGTTATACATACAATTGTTCGCTTCAATTCGTCTTTCTCAGCGAGAAATGAGCATCGAGTCGACACCGATTGTAATTTGAATTGTTTCGATACTGATCTGATGGTTTATCTCTCGTTGAGTCGTGACTTCGCAGACTCACCATCGTTTCCAGACTGGCGTACAAGAGAGCCACGTCCGATGGCGTACTGATATTCCTCTCGGTGTAGTAAGAAAGATAATCGAACAGAGGCTGATACTGCGACAACGTTTCCCGCATCTCGGCTGTTTCCAACACCTCGTTCATCCGTGAGATAAAATTCGGGCACAACGAGCCCAGCATCAACACGTCCTCCTTCAGTTCCATGTAATCTGCAGAAGAATTGACTAAAATTTGTTTCATCGAAACAATATATGCGAAATATTAATTTGTTTGGATGCGATAAAACTTATTAAATTTGAAGAAATCCTTTTCTCAGTGTACATTATTATTCTCGTGCTTATAATAATTCATAACGAAAAAGAAAAAAAAAATGTAAGGAAAGATCATTGCACTTTATGCGTGATCTGATCGCTCGATTCGGATGAGTTTCTCCACGATTTGCGTGCCGAGAGACGCGATTACGATATTCTGTTTACTGACTGGCCGGCATCGGCTGCCAGTTCAGGCCCGTCATCCACATTTGTTCTTCCGTGGGTGGCCATAAACCGGCGTTAACAAGCTGCGCTGATAATATCGATAAGGCGTACTCCGTCGACCTCATCTTCGTGGGTTCATACGATTGCAGCCCGTCGCCCAGAAACCCGCTGTAGATCTTGCGCAGATGCACTCCGAGGTTGTACATGTTGAGATTCGAGGTCTGCGTAATCGTGAAAATTATCTTTCGCTTCACAAACAATATTTAAGATAAAGATACATATTCGTTGAAAAAGTCTAACAATCGTGCTTACTAATCGAAAGATTAGTTTCTTGGAAGCTCGCCAATGAAATTTATTCGGATGCGATAAAATTTATTCAAATTTTTGAAATTTGAAGATATCTTTTTCTCAGTGTGGAAATTTGGTAATATCCCACTCAACAATGTAACTGTTATATACAACGTATATACATTGCATTTACATTGCCGAGTAAGAAATTCTACTGCTGATGTAATACTGTCATTTTTCACACTTCAGTGTAATTCTTGAGCGAGTCCTTGTTGGCTCTTATAAGCCTTTTTAGCTCTTATTATTTTTCTTGATAAAATAACGTTACCGTTGTAGTGGGTGTTTTACTGGCGGGGAACGAATATTATTATTAACATCAGCACGTACGTTCGACATGTTCTTCCTGGCGGAAATGAAGTACTCGTACGATAAGAGCCGCGGCAAGCTTTCCCTTTCCGCTTTCTGGTCCTCTCTCGGCGCGTACAGCTTGTGCGCGAACAACTGCGACCACACGTCATCCCTGTTTCTGTTTTCCGTCACATTTCCGTTACATTTACTCACACGGAGAAAGCAAATTTTGCTGGAACAGCAAATATCTGTCAATACAGTGACAGCAAGAAAAAATTGGTTTAAACAGCAACAAATGTTTTCGGACAGCAGAAAGATTTGTGAAGAGTGTTAATTGCTGTTTGCTGGGACAGTTAATACTCTTAACAAATCTTTCTACTGTCTAAACAAACGTTTTCCTTGCTGCCGCTATATTGACAAACATTTGCCGTTTCTGCAAGATTTGTTTACCCGGAACGAGCCGGAGCGAAGAGAGATGATTCTCGCTCGCGCGGAAATCATTTACTTACAACGTGCACTAACTTCAGGTCCGGCACGGCCGAAGTCGCCGACAAGCGGACGATGCATAACGCGAGCGTAACGCAGGCGAAACGTGACCCGTTCATTCCCTCGGAAGCCGCTCGCTCTTTTTCTCTTTCTCTCTCGCTCCTTCGGAAGCGGATGCTCGAGCAAAGAATATCGCAGATAAATAATCGATGACGACGAACCGAACTGCGCGAGAGGAACGCAATGCGACGCAATGCCGGGGGAACTTCGAAATCGGGAACGGCGATAAAAGTGCGGCGAGCAGATCGCGCCGTGAATGACCGGTTAAACTCCGAGATGCGAATGCGAAAGCGTCCGATGAATTTCTTTCTTAAGTTTGTGCTGTCGGGTGCTTAATCGCCGGCAACCGTGACGAACTCACCTATAACCTTGCGCCACCTGAAGTCTTGTTCTGGATGCGATATTTTGATTCTCAAGCTGAAACAACATTACATATGACGTTCTCGTATACGGAGAAAAATGATAAAGGTAATCGCGCAATTTTGCGATGCTTTGTAACGTCGAGCTATATCGGAATTATAACTGAAGTCACGATGCGTGATCTTTAGTTGATGTTCTTCATTAAAGTACGCGAAAGAAATAACTATAGCGTAAGATTGGTTAAGGAAAACAAGCGATGAGAGACGCGGAATTTCGAGCTCCGAAAGGTGAGCGATTAATTAAACCAGGAGTTAGTCCGAGGATGTACGAATACGCGGAGAACCGGACGACGACGTGGCTGTAACTTCCGCGATGTTATGTAAGAGTGTCGGTGTGTGACTCGCGATAAGAATTCTCTTCCGTTTCGTCCACATCCACAGAGATTATTCGATCTACCGCCGCCGCGGCTGCACTCACCGCGAGAGGGTGCGAGAAAAAAAAACCCGCATAATCGCAATTATGGTTTAGCTGATAAATATAGACCGGCTCGGGCGCGCTTATTTAGGACGCGCGTTATCGAAATTCGCGCGACCTCGCGAATCGTCCTCCGACGTTTGATCCGACGAGTTCGAGCGCGAGCATTTGAAATTCCCGCTGTATGTCAGTTTCTTTAAACGTACGTAACGTTCTACCTGGATAGTCAGACCGTATATTCATCATCTTCAGTTCTACGTCTTCACATACTGCACGGCTTGTTTTATCACCTGTGAAGCGACGATCCGACAATACCGATGTATCATAGGACAGGTTTAATCTGGACAAAATATCGTGCTCTTTACAGAGATCCGCGATTCAGACGATTCGCGGAGTCGCGCGATTTCTCCGGAATTTTCCGAAAATCGAGCTCACCTGTTCGGCCGACCGCGTTTCCTCCTCGGAGAAAGAAAGATCCCATACGAACGCCGTGCGACAGTACAACCGCCGTACAACTGCGATCCTCCTTGCTGGCGTTCGTTTGACTGTATCCTATCTACCTAATTACCTACCAACCTGCCATTTGTTTACGCTCGTCCGACGATAACAATTAAGTGACTTGAGATTGCCGCGAGATGCCGAGATTGTGTTTGGCATTAACTCGGCAAACAAACGACACCGAGTCGAGAACACGGGACGTTGTTGATCTTTAATAAAACATGTGCCTTATCGAGCGCCACGATACATTTTGCGTTTGCTCCTCTCCGACATTAAATTTCACAATTTTTTGTTAATTTCTTTTCTTATTATTATTTCGTGATTCTCAATAGTCGCCTTTTGACACGTTCGCTACCAGCGTCACATACCTGCGATCATTTTTCTTTCTATGCACTGGCTACACTAACTTGCACTCATTCTATTTTCCTCTCTTTCCCATCAAGTTTTAAAAAAGGGAGGAAAAGAAAACTGGTGCAAAGCAGCGCATCTAGAAATAGAAAACAGACCTCGTGTCACCGCAAATAAATTAAGTCCGTTTTTCATAATTACACATAAAAAATACAGGTTGATCTACGGGGTACGTTTTCCAAACGAACTTCCCTAGTAGTGAACATGCTAATTGTTGCCGATTAGTTGAAACGATCGCATTGAAATGATCAGTGCGATCGGTCGATTCCGTTAAGTCAACCGTCGGTTGATTGTTGGTTGACCGAGATTAGTGAGAGTCACCTTGAGAGAGAGAGAGAGAGAGAGAGAAAGAAAGAGAGTAGGAGAAACACTTATTAAATATTCATTTTATTCAGCAGAATTCGCATTAATACTATTGACCTATTTCTTCGAACATCTCTTGCAAACGCAAGCTTTGTTCATCTAACATGTAGCGGTTAACGCAATATTTTTATTTCTTTCTAAGAAATTCAAAACGATAATACTTAATGCTTCACTCTGTATATATTTAGCAGCGGTTATATATTCGTATTCAGCAGATATATATTTATGCATGCGGTTTTAACGCACGAGGCTATGTTAAGAGAGCTTATTACTCCTCATTAATTCTATCTTAATCGTCAGCATTTAGCGGCAAGTGCACGTGCGTAATAGAATATTGTACGTCCTGTAAGTCTCCCGAAAGAGGGGGATCGAGGAGACTTCGATGCTTCTGAAAAGCACACGCCGCGAAGACCAACATTATCAATTGTCAGTCATTAGAGACGACGAGCGAGCGGAGATTAAAAAAGAGTTAGTGTCAGTCGATAATAATATCCCGATATATTCAGAAATGACATGTGTTCATTGCATATCTGGAATCCAATTCGGCACGACGCTCGCTAATAAAGACGACGAATCGTTATTTAATGATGTTTGAGGAGAGGAGCAGCCGTTAAACATCCGCTCGCGAGCGTTATCACGCCGCGAATTTCGGTAATTAATGCGGCTCCATAATTAATACAGCTCATTCACACGTGTCAGCCTCTCATAATATTGGCATAGACATCGCGTCTATGCTAAAATTACGGACGATGTCGAGCATTCCGCACGTGACGCGCACGCGACGCGTCGTCAGCGGTAAACCGCGAGCGCGATCGCCTCAACAACAATATGTAATGTTGATTACGCTTCGTGATAAGTATCACGTTCCCCGACACAATGATAAGCGACCGTCGAGTCTCGTTCCGGGAAGTAATTTCGGTTTTTAGAGACGGTTGCCGTACCTCGCAATGGCGCAATATCATTTTCCATCATTTTCCCGCGAATGTGATGCATTATTTCGAAGTACACGTCTGGAACGTCGCTCTAATTCTTTCTCTCATGTCACGTATATATATATATATATATATATATATATATATATTACCTGCGTGTTTATGCATTGTCAACTCGCTAACTCAAGCGTATAAGCAATTGCAGACAATTACTCGTTAACCGTGCAAGGAGGACGCTCGTTAAAGCGGTGTCCTGATAACGCGATGGCAATGCGTTTGTCCGTTCCGTCGACGGTGGGCAGATGGCCTTTGAATGAAACTGGGAACCGCTCGATTTTTCATCGATCGATCGATTAACATCGTTGATTAATCGATTGCTCGTCCGTGAGCGAAGTGGCGGGAACGAGTCGACGGATAAATCCGATGGGATCGTTACGGAAGAGGACAAAAGGAACCTCTTGGATTTCCCGTAGATTTAAGCTCTCGTCTTCTGCAGACTCGCGTCAGTCGCCGTATGTCCGCTCTTCGCGATCGAGAGATAGCAAATATATCTGAAAGTCAGATTGCGCGATACGCAACAGTGACTCTCAGGCCACGTGGCGTTTCGGTTTTTCACGCGATGAACGTCGTAGTTGCAGCCGAGGGGGAATCCGGAAACACGTTCGAGTCGCGTGAATATCTCGGGCATTCCCAACCGTACACGACTCCGTGAGTGATTCTCTCTTTTCCATTTTCCCCGGGAAATAGAGTGTTCATTCTTGCGACGATACATTGCATAGCGAAACAATTATATAGTCGGGAAAACCGTTTTTGTTTTCTTTTTTTTCCGGTAAATGTTATTGCAGTGTTGATGATTAGAACTACACTGGGAGAGGAAATATATCAAGTATGACGGTTTTATTCAAGTATAAAGATACTAACAAGGTGTTTACTTAAATCTAAATTCTTTTATCTGAATAGATATAAACATAAGATAGAATAAGATTTTAAAAAATGCTTTCTCATGAAAAGCTATGGCTTGAAGAAAATTTATTCATTTTCTCATTTCTCTCAGATGAATTTCTTTCAGGATGAAAATATGTATGTTAATGTAATATTATTACTTTAGTGAAATAAAATTTCGTAGTTAGGAACACACGGACCGCGACGTGACGACCGCTGTTTTGGGCGACGAGTAGCTGTGTTTGCGCAGCGGCACGGCAGTCGACAGAAGCGTTCGCTGGTCTCCCGTTAATTATGTTAATTAACAGAGCACAAGAGATGATATCGAATCGCGGAGCAAAGATAAACATGAATTGTTCGATAATAATCGAGCAAAGTGCGTTGATTTATTATAGATCACGGGACGCTTCTCGTAGAAAGAAAAAGTCCTTTACATGATTCTTTCAGCTCTCGATCGGAGGTAACGCGTAATTACCGTCGAATCGCGAACGTTTGCCGCTCGCCAACATTTATCTGCGCACAACAAAATCCCGTGAGATTAGTCTGTTGGCTTTCAGATCTCTCTCTCTCTCTCTCTCTCTCTCTCGTTTAATTGTAAATTCTCCGCTCCGCGTAAGTGCCGCTCATTTCTTCATGTTTTCACGAAGATCGTCACGATTTCATGATTTATACCGGCCCTCGTGCGGATTTGCACGGCGCAAATCATGTGAATGCGAGTTATCTACATCCTCCGAGGCGTCTGATTGCGGTCTGAGAACTGTTCCCGCCAAGTCCCACCAAGTTGCAGAGCGACTCGAAACATCCCGAGTCGAGATTTCGATGCCACTTTGGCGCTCTTAGAGATAGCTTGCGTTCCGTTAGACAGCCTATAGACTATTAAGAAACCTACTCTGACGATACCGACATTCATTAGATTTCTCTCTTTAACTTTTAATTTTAGAGATTTAATTTTAACGCTATCTTGAGCAATAAATTATTCCGACTCTTTCTATTTTATCCGATTTCTGTGGCATAAATACCGGAGTTACTCGATATTACGTTAAAATTAAAAGTTTTACTTTTTAATTTAAAAATGCCAAGGTCAAAATTTCAACTCGGGGTCGCGAAATCGCGAATTTTGTTTTAGCGAATTTCCCCCCGCGGTTCTTCACGCGACGTTTTCGTGACGTTGAACATTCTGTAAACGATTTTGCTTAACGAGTGAAAATAAACGGCTGATCGCCATATTACTGCAAGGAGCAATTGCGATTGCGATATCCCACGTCAGAGTTTTGCATAATGTTCGTGCGCAATACGCACGCATATTATCTGCGAATTAATCCTTATCGCGTTTGCGCACTAGAAAAGAACACTTTATGCGGTGTTACTTATATACTTCGAAACGACAATCGGAAGAAATATAAGATAGTTTATTAGCCGACTTTTCGTGACATAACTTTTTGTGCAGGTGCAACAATACATCGCAAGCAGTTGTGTATCTCTTCTTTTCTTAGTCGATTTTTTATTTAATCGATATCGCATTTTTATCTCGCCAGTTAATCGTACTTCCCGTCATCCTGCACGTGAAAATTGATCAGACCGATCAAAAAGTGAAAACGTCTCTTCCTTCCCAATCTTGAGCAACTTATTTTGACGCTGAAACAATAAAACCGGGGGCGAAATTTTACGTGGAAATTTTATTTCTCGCCCATATCTTCGAGAAAGACCGTAAAGAAATAAACGATTCGATAAAATCGCGCGAATACCACGTATATGACGAACTTGCCGATATGTCACGCGACGTACTTGCCGATATGTCACGCGAAAAAATCAAAAAATGTTGTAGAACACGCGCACGTGTGTCGATACATAACTATCCTTTCATGTTTTTATATTTAGAAACGTTCTTTCAGCTATTACACGCAGAACCTGAAACTCGCAGGATAACAATTATCACGTTACATTTAACGCTTTTTACATCGCCGCTCCCATGTCTGAAACGCTAATATCGCGATTTAACGTATTATTTGCATTTTAATGAGGAATAATTCTCGCACAGAATTGCATGTGTGTATTAATTTCAGCGAACATTCAGTCTTTCCCGCGGAAATGGTAAAAACTGCAAGTAATTCGCGTTAAGCATGATCTATATAGGTGGCGGAACGCAAGACATAAGTCGTAAACGCGTACACAAGATGATGATCGGATAATGCAAAGCGCTAATGAGCTTGATGCTTATGATGAATTTATGGCATGTATATGCGGATATATAAACTTACGAGATGCTTGATACAAGTAACATTTGCTTGGATGCAGCATGTATTTTTGGTGTGCAATATATTTAAATATCATATCGTTAGTTACCATCACTGCTATCATTAGTGTTATCTTAATACAATATCGAGCCGTAAACGCGATATAAATGCGAATTATTATATTACATAACGCTGGCGCTCTCTGCGTCTTTTATATAAGCAAGAAAATGCCCAGAAAAATAATATTATCTTGTGCCTGCGTTCGCAATCTGCATTCTCGCGTTTTGCGAACTACGTAGACCAGGCTTTAGATTCGCACATGCGAATCGAACAATTCTCTGTTTCGCTGGCGATTATTCTGCAATCGCGCACGTGTATTATTTATACGCATGATATCGTCGATTAATCTTTCGAATAACCCGTACCATCATCGTGCCATCATCGAGACACTGCGTCACACACACAGTATTTTAACCGAACTTCATTAAAATTCACAGATGTTCCTCGATAACTTCCTACACAGAGAAAAATATCTAAGTGTCTATCTAATCGCTAAGAAGAAAGGTAAACTAAGTGTAATCGCTCTTCTTAGCGATTACACTTAGTTTACCTTTCTTCTTATACAGTTGGAGTTATCAAGTTACAGTTATCTTCAGCAAAAATATTTACTTCATGTGAAATAATCTTAAAATAGTCTTAAAACAGTCTTGAAATATATTTATAACAAATTTTATAGAGGCTCATTATCACGTACTGGAAAGAAAAATTTATTCTCTTTTCGAGGATATTGAAACTTTATCGAAGAAAGGTTAAATTCAAGATTAATTTGAATAAAAAACAAAACAAAGCTTATTTTAGTTCGATATTCTTGATTGAAGTATATTAAACTTACTGGGATTTAGAATATACTTGGATACATTTTTAAATATATTTTGAATAAATTTGATGCTTATGATGAACTTATGACACGTATATGCGGATATATAAACTTACGAAATACTTGATACAAGTAACATTTGCTTGAATGCAGCATATGTTTTTCTGTGTGCAATATATTTAAATATCATATCGTTAGTTACCATTATTGCTATCATTAGTGTTATCTTAATACAATATCGAGCCGTAAACGTGATGTAAGTGCGAATTATTACTTTACATAACGCTGACGCTCTCTGCGTCTTTTATATAAGCAAGAAAATGCCCAGAAAGATAATATAAACACAAGAACGGAGCATTTAATACGCTTCGCGGATTATATAATATTTGTCGTCTGAGCTTCATTGGCAGTAACATTCTTCAAACATAAGACGACTTATTTATACATTCGCAGTAATGTCTATCTTAATTGCCGCGTAAAACCTGTTCTTTTATACGTGGCCAGTCATAAAAAGATTGTAACACTTTTTTTCGATAAGTTTCGCAAAGTGTCTCTCATGCGATAAGAAAATGTAAATTGAAAATAAAAAATGAACTCTTCTATCGGATATATGTATCAAAACTCTAGAAAAAAAGTATTGCAATCCCTTCCTGACTCGGACAATGTACGATACGTAGTAGCAGAAGCAACGTACCTCGTTACTGAGTTTTCGTCTGGTCTTTAAAAAAATAATTATATATGATTATATATAATTACATAAAATCATGTACGAATTTTGCCCATATATGTGGTTATTAACTGGTTATTAAATGTCAATATCAGAATGTGCTGTCAGAAGGATTTACTTCGATTGTATTTGCATATAATTTGTAAACAACCGTATTTCTTCGTTATGGATGTGATTATATATAGTCATATACGAACAAATCTCATACATGATCTTTCTTTTTCTCAGCTACTCAGTTGCGAGAACTGACATTTCTTCTCCGCGCGATAAGACCGTGTCGCGTAAAGAAATCAGTCTGGAGGTCAGACGCAAACATGGCTTTTCTTCTTGTAGGAACAAGAAGACTCCCGTGAAAAGTTTCTACTCGGTTAATTGTTCTTTCTCTTTCTCTCTCTCTCTCTTTCTCTCCCTCTCATTTATCTCGACTGTCTTAATGCAACCGAGTGTTCAGACGAATATTTTCGGCCGCGGTAGAAGAGATATCGTATCTCGTCGCTAAATTCACATCCGGTTCTCATTCAATTCGACAAGACCGGACGAAAATTCGGGGACGAAAAGTGATATCTATGTCATCGCGATCGGAAACATCCGTCTCGACATTCAGCTGTAAATGATAATCGCCAAAGTCTGTACTGTTTAACTTCTACTAAGTACGTACTGTTTAAGATACTTTTAAAATGACAATGACAACTTTTTTAAACTTCGACAAGTATATATATATATATATATATATATATATATATATATATAGACTATTATTAAGAAAATATTCTTTTCTGAAAATAACACTTACTTAAAAGAAGCTAATTAAACTGAGCAATCGCTTTTCTTCTAGCAATGGAATGATCTTTTCCTCTGTGTAAAAATAGATCTGTATAGGAGATTTCTACTCAGTCAATCACCTTTAATTGTCCCAACCGAGTTTTGATGCAACAGCCACATTGTTCACACACAGAAAAGAAGAACTTGGTTCCTGCGAACAGAATAACGAAGATCAGATGAAAACTCGGTAAGAGAAATGAAAAATCAGTTACAAGAAGTGGTATTTCTGTTGTCATGACTGATAACATTCTCGTGTGAGCATTCAACTGTATAAAAACTCGGCTGACATGATCGAAAGCAATAGGCCGAGTCGAGACCTCCCGCAGGGCTGCGTTTCAAAACCCTGCTCGACAAGTAGAGTAGCATTTAATTGACCAGGACGAAAAGAGCAAAGATTTCTTCATCATGATCGACTAATTAAATTCTATTCGTCAAGCGGGGTTTTAGAATCCTTCTACTCTGAGAAAAAGATTTTTTCAAATTTAATAAATTTCATTGCATCCAAACAAATTTCATCATTGGCATAAAATCTAAAAAAAACGAATGTTTCGATTAATAAATACAATTGTTAGACTTTTCAACAAATATGTATCTTTATTTTAAATAAAACATTCCTTTGAAACGAAAGCTAATTTTCTTACAGAGAAATTATTTGTTCCATTTTTTCGTAAATATTATTGTAACCATATTTATTGCAACGAAATAATATTTCATTCGGTTAAGAGATATTATTTCAAATAATAGCGTCCTTCCTGTTAAATAATAGTTTTCTCGAATGAGACGATAAAATTGTTATTCAAACAAATAATACTTCGTACATATTGTTTCTGTGAAACAAATTTTAGTCAAATAAATAGAAATACTAAAAATCTCAAGAAACCTTTTCCTCTGTGTAGAACCGAGTTTTCGTCTAGTCCCCAAGCAGGGGATTTTTTTCCATGCGTCACTGCCATGTGTGACGCATAGAAGAAGAAAAAAAAAGACAGATATATTCCGCATTCCCAGGATATTCCGTGATACAAGTTCCGCGCGTAACGCGCGATTCTTTCGTAATGTCGTCGCAACGTGCGCAATTAAATTCGCCGACGGGGGCCGACGGAGCGTCCTCCTCCGTCGTCGCCGCGTGCTGTCGTCGTCGTCGGGGAGACCTGGCCTTCGCGGATATCTCCTCGCGGCCATGTGTTTTTCGTGTGGTTTAACGTTTTCCTGAGACGAATAGGTTCGTGCTACGTGACGTCCGTCCGCGACGGCCCGATAAAACGGATAGGAAGTGTCGTCGGGAGGAGGGGAGTCGCCGCTGATGCGCTCTCTTACACCTTAAAAGCGTAATGTCGCCGAGCGCGAAGGGTCAGTGTTCCATATTAATTCTCGCGATCCGGTGCAAGCAAGAGCGACGGATCATCACTTGGCGATCGAAGCCACCACCGGCCGAGGAAGACCACCGAGAAGATCGCGATTCGATCGAAGATCTACGCCTGATCGTCCTGTCGTAACACTGAACACGCATCACAAGTACGCTTCGGTCTCGATCCTCTCCGTTTCATTCTCGATACGTTCGTTTCTTGCACGGGGAAAAAAGAGATTAGTCTTAAATCTAGAATAGATATTCCAACACGTAAACGGGAATTTTATAATCTTCTTGGAAAACTTTCAGTCTTGATTTGATTGAATTTGTATTCCTTGCTTGCCATAATTTATCTAATATTCTCTTGTTTGACTGTATATCACGAGCGCCTGTCCTATTTATTTTGTTAATTCTATTTTTAACGCGCGAGCGTGTAAATTTGATACTTTAATATTTTTATATTTGATACTTTTTATAATATTTCGTTCATTTGAGAATTATAAAAAAATATACATTTTCTTCTTTTTATGGCTAATTAAGATTTAGATCGCGCTGGAAGGATCGTCTTTTCCGGCTTATTGTTAAAGCGGCGGTTCTTACGACACTTGTTTTATTTTCGAGCAATGCCTAATCACATCGTCCTCGAACGCATTACAGTTTCCGGCCCGCAGGATGATCCTACCTCGCAATTTCTGCAATTACCTGTCGATCGTCGCGGTGATCGGTCTGAGCTCGAGCATTCTAATGGCGAATTCCACGACGCTCAACGCCCTCAAATTAGTTAACGTGGTGAGTATTAATTAGATACGCTCGTTCATTCTTATTAGAGAACAATTGGACAACTACTTCGGGGAGGCGCATTTGCGATATGCAAATCGAAGGAATCGTTAAGTTCGTTTCTGAGTATCCGAAATACCGATCTAATCGACTATTTTATCCGCGCTCGTTATCATTATTTGGATTATTAATATTATTTTATTGATTACTCGTTTCATACCCTTCCTTCTTGTGTCTCGATAATTTGTATTTAACTCTCTCGCAGGTGTTCCGACACGGCGACCGAACGCCCGATAACAACGGATTCGAGATGTATCCGAACGACCCGTATCTGAATTATTCCTTCTATCCGACGGGTCTCGGACAACTGACTTTAGTGAGTAACGTCATCCCATCTCTTCATTCGTTATCCATCGAGAAAAAAAAAGAAAAAAGGAAATAGCAGAACTGAAAATAACCGGAAAGTCCTGTGATGAATTAATAGGAGAGAAACGCTGAAACGCGGCGATTCCTCTCGGCGGAAAGGAACTGTAGCGTTCGTGCCTTATACGGAAGAAGATATAAAACTGTAAATTGAAGTCTCCTTAGTAGGAGTCGATTTCGGCTCCCCGTTGAATTCCCATGAATTTTCACAGGCCGGCAAGAGACGCGAGTATAATTTGGGTCAAGTTTTGCGCGCCAGATACGACGGTTATCTGAGTAAGGTATACGTACCGAAAGACTTGGTGGCACGCAGCTCGGACTACGATCGAACAAAGATGTCCTTGCAACTTGTTCTCGCAGGCTTGTATCCGCCGCCGGTTGTTCAACGGTGGAACAAGTGGCTCAATTGGCAGCCGATCCCGGCGTCGTACACGCCGCGCGTAGACGACGGTCTCATTCTGGCCGACGAATGTCCCGAGTAAGTACAAATAGGGTACTACCGAATTTTCGAATAAGAAAAAGATAAAAATAAATCAAACAACGAATGTTACTTGCCGAGGTAAAATTCTTTTACCTCCCGTACTTTACTTTCTAGGTAGGTCGAAAGTTCAAATTAAAATTCGAGATTCGCTCGGGATTTACCAGAGTCCCTTCGTTTCACAGATACCTCGACGAGTACGAACGGGTGCTGGAATCGCCGGAAGTGCAGAGTATGTTGGATCAGTTTAAGGACTTGAGGAGCAGCTTGATGAAGCTGACCGGCAAGAAACTGGAGAGACCCTCCTTGGACTACTACTACCTCTATCACACTTTCATAGCGGAGTCCTCCCTGGGATTGCCCCTTCCCGAGTGGGTCTACGATTATTTCCCCAGCGGTCAGCTGTTCGACGCGACCATAGCGTCCTACGATATTTCCAGTAAAAACGACAAGCTCAAGAAATTGTTCGCCGGTAAGAAACATTCGCCTCGATCCTTCCTCGTATCGAAAGTTTCGCCATTTCTCCGGATAATACACACATTAGCGAGTTATTTACACGAGCGCGCGTCGTCGTCCAAATCGGTCCGTTCATCGATTCGATTGATATTCGATTAGTCGCAACGAAGGATCGAAGGTAGAAAAAACGATCGGTCTTCGACCGATAAACCTTCCAACATTCGACTGAACGAAGAATCCCGCTGATTCCTTTCCAGGCCCGCTGATTCGCGCTATGACGGACAACATGATAAAAACGCAGAACGGCGCATCGCCCGCCAAGATTTACTTGTACGGTGGCCATGAGACCAACATCGCGGCCCTACTGAAAGCGCTCGAAGTGTACGAGACGCACGTGCCTGAGTACTCCAGCGCGATTATCATAGAATTGCTGCAAATAGGTTTCGATTATTACGTAAAGGTGAGTGTGTTCTCGAACAACAAGTATCGAGTTAGCGACGGTGCGATCAGTCCGACGGGAAGACTCGACGTTCGCGTTAATTTTTCATTCCGTACGGTCAGCGCGAATGTTGACGGAACTACATAACTCTCAGCCTTCTTCTTAATCCGAGAGAAACACGCGGCATAATCCCGATCGGAACGAGCGAACACGTTTCCTCTTCGTCACCATCCGTCCCCTTCCTCCATCGTTGTTTTTTATCGCCCTTTCTTTTATTGCCCTACAAGCGCACGTTAAAGCGCGCCCCATTGATCCCTAAATCACTCCTGAAACATTCTTCTTGAAATTCTCCAATTCTCAAAATCACACGAACCTAAACAGGCCGCCTGGTAAACAACAAGTAAGATCGCATCAACGTTATAATTTCTCACTCAATAATGAAAATTCGCGACACATGTTGCGACGGTTACATCGTTGCGTGGAAAATTGTAATATCAACGTAATGTTTATTTTACTTATTTATTTATTTAGCGGGAATCATCCTTTGGTATAATACATTTGCAGTAATCACGATAAGGAGATAAAGGAAATCTTTTTTTCCACGGGACAGGAAGAAAGGAGACCGAGAGAAATTGAGATAAAAACCCAAACCATTTACCATTTCGCTTCTATCGCTCTTCGACCTATAATTTCCCTTTCGTTTCTTCTTTCTTACGCGCAAAGTCACCGTACGAATCCAACCGTCGCCCGTCGGTCGCCAACGCGACACGTGAACCACAGAATTATCGCGGTCACTCATTACTCCGCCGTTTATTTCCAGCTGTTGTATTATCTGGGTATCCCGCCGGTCATCAAGGAACTCACGATCCCCGGCTGCGAAGTGCTCTGTCCGTTCGACAAGTTCTTAGACCTGACGGAAAAGCTGATCCCGCTCGAGAACGAAATCATCTGCGACAAGAGGAAAACTCCGGATTACGCCAATGTGCCGTATCCGGCCGCGGTGCAGGAGATGCTGTACAATTTGTTAAAAACGAACAGAAACGAGACGCGGCGGTGAAGTGTAATGACGTGCCGCCCTGATCACCGAGACTGAAACACCGGGTGGTAAAAACGACGATACTTCGAACGTTGAAACGTTCGCGCCCCCCCCCCCCCCCAAACCTCCCTCCTATGCCACCGTGATATTATTTCCTTCGCATAAGTCGGTCGTTAATCCATTCCATTCACTCGCTCATCGTCACATCGTCGAATCATTGTTCAAAGCGGGTCTCAACTACTCAACATCGGTGCATCACAGCGAGGGTCGACGGAAGTTTGCCCCGCGGGGCTACGAGGTTCCCACTGTGCTTCCGGGTGATCTCGTCTCCGATATCGTCAGGTTTCTCTCCGTTCTTTCCTTGCCTTGTATTTATTATATATCGAAGACGTCATCGCCCAGCAAGCCACGAAGCATTTATACGATTATTATCATTGTCTGTCGATATTCCGTCGAATTATTCGCTTATTTCCTGTTTCGAGCAGTCACTTGCTTAAAAATAAAGTATTATATATTTATTATAGAATGAAGTGCGCGGTACAAAATGCGGAAACACTTTGAGGTAAAATACGTTAATTGCATGTGACTTGATCTATCTGGCGCCGAATCAGCGCCGATTACATTTATGGGAGAAGAGAGAGACGACTAATCTTCTTCGCAATTCACCCGAGAATCTTTCCACGAAAACCGATACGCGGGACACGTTGTAGGAAATAAAGTCAGATCATCGACCGTCGAGATGCGGCATCCCTTGGTTTTCCACAGCGCGGAAAAAGAAAGTAACACATGGTGAAGGTTGATTTAATTGAGGTACAATTTTTCGGCGTGGAGCTGCAACATTTCCTCCTTGGTTATGTTGTCCCACAAGCAAGACGCCTCCGCATCCGACGGTATCACAGCGCGCATGAGCTTCAGGTAGGTGTCCATAGGACAGATCTCATCGCACTGTTCCAGTTTTCTGGTGATAAGTTGCTGCGTAAGACCGGTCCAATAGTGAATCTATCGACAGAGACCGAAAGATCGTCAATATTTTAGTAATGTTGCGCATTACTAACATTACCCGGAGACGGGCAAACTTGCAGGAGGATCGCAGCGAACGAGCCTTAATATTAATAATATTCAAGAAAATCTGCGTTACCATGAATGAAATTCAAACGAACATGCATCCGACGACTTCCAAGCGCACTGCGATTTCACGATAAAGCACACAGTGTCAGACGTGCGTGCCATATAAATTGTATACATTGCACCTAATTATAGCTATGTAAAATAAACTGTGGAGATTATAAACGGACGCACTTGCGGAAGAAGTGATAACTGAATGTGAAGTCGACTGTGGATAGACTAGCTTAATTTAGTTCGATTAGACGGTGGTTGTGCGTAATCGTGTCCGATAATTACTCTGACGTAAAAATTCTGCTTCTCGTCCCGCAGCTTCTCGACGATGAACGCCGATCCGAAATTCGGTATTATCGGGTCTGTTATGTTATGAGCCCTGGCAAACGATGCGATGTTTATCTCGTGGCCGCTGTAAATGTATATCTTCCGCGTAGGCTTGTTGCCGTTCCTCGGGTTCATGTTGTTGATGAAACTCTTCACGAGGAAGCCTCCGTTCAACCGCTTCAATTCGGTCGTATACGAGAGTAAATCGTACTCCAGCAAGATGAGTTCCTCTATCTTCTGGTATACCTCGTCGGTGCACCACTCCGGCAACGATAGATTCATAGATCTCTGAAAAGAGTGGAAATAATTGAAAATAATTCTTGACTGTCGCGACGGGTCTGATGAAAGTGATACTCGAGAACGATCTGTCTCCTGGATCATCCGTGATTCTCATGAATCACGTATATCTTCCGTCATATATGCAGATTTGGATATAACGTATTACTTTAACCTGTTAAATATTACGCGTAGATGCCCACCTATTCAAAATCGTTAGAGAAAAAAGATTTTACATGACACGTTAAAATCATTCTTCTCTTAACTACACGCAATATTTGACAGAGTTAGGAGGTAACGCGTCACTTTCGGAAACTGGTGTTATACGTGCGCAAATTAACAATTGCATTTGTTACCGTTGTTATTAAAAAATATATAAGCCTTATCGCGTACTAACGAAGATAACGATTATACACGTCGTTATTAAATCATGATTGAAAAAGAAGATAAAAAGTAACGGCGTTACAAATAACGAGTAATTTCACAACTATATGTAACTATGTGTCTACGTTGATTAGCGTGCGGATCACCTGCGCTATTAATCCACCGGAGAGATCGTAAACGTGAATCGGCTCTGTGATGGTCAGTCCAGTTTTCTCGCTTAAGAACTCGAAGAAGTCGTGATAGGGCGCGATTTGATCGCGAACCTCACTCCTGTTCCTCACCTCCTTCAAAGCTGCTTTGTAACTGTAAAGAATAGAATTTCGTGAGGAACTGAAAAAACTCCTTCGCGCGCTCCTCGACGATGAGTTTTGTCGCAAAATTATCGAGACAGGCGGTAATTTACAATTTACAAATAGTTAATGTTAAGTCTGCGCGAAGTTTGTAAAGACACTTGATTCACAAAATTTATTACATCGTTATATCAGGAGCTTGCAAATGTTCGATGGAGACTATTATTTCGAAGAATAAGTCATTTTCCGAACACGGAATCAGATAATTGCCTGAAAGTCAGCGAAAAGTAGTAGATAACGATGATAACTATGAAAATAAATTATAATTATTAATAAATTAGAAATATAAATTCAATAAATCATAAAGTATATATATATATATATATATATATATTAATAACATAATATATAATTTTATATCATAAACTTTTTCTAAATAAGTTATAGTTAAGAACATAAAAGTAAATAAGATACTCGAAGCATAAAATGTAACGTATACAAAGTATGCATTGCTTTTTTGCTATTAGCGAGAGAAATAACCCAAAGAGAACCTTCGCAAGCTCCTGATGTAACAAACAAGGATACCGACACTGGACATTGTTGCGGTTTCATCACTATGTCCACTTTCTGCGGTGTGTAGTGAATGGGAATGCCGAGCCACTTCACATCCGGATGCCACTGTTGAGCTTCGTGCGGAGGGTACAACCCTGCCAAAGTTAACTCCAAGGACAACTTTGTGCGATCGATGTCCGTGCTGATAGCGTAGACGTCCCGTGGATGATAGATCGAGCCTAGAAAATGGCCATACATATGCCGCAGCATCGTCCCGAGCCGATACTCCGTCATTTTCCCTTTCTGAAAAATTACGTCTTCCTTGTGATTCATTTGCCGTAAGTAAATAAAGTTCGTTTTAGATTTTAATGCGAAGGCTAATCCAAAAGAACTGGACTGTGTTGCCTTTAAATAAAACTCCAGCAGTCATAAATACATCGGAGTGATGTCGATACTTAATCTAGGTTATGTATGGTTCGATCGAATCATAATAATAACGGTAAATGGTTTGTAACTATTGATTTTAATAGTTATTGTTATTTTTCCGGGAAAATAAAACTCGGTGGGGAAAATCGAAAAAGACATTTTTTTTCGGAGACACACAAAGACGCAAGAAATTTACGTCTTTAAAAACGACCATGACAGCTTTATTACGTCAAAAAATTAATTTTTCCCAAATAATGTTTTTTCCGAAAAAAAAAAAACAAACAAAATGTAAATAAGGCGTCTTAATAACCATCTTCTCCTCTGCTCATTATATGTTAAAGAAAGATAAGATGATGTTTTGTCAGTATTTATGTTGCGAGAAGAAAGCTTTTCCTCTAAGCGTGAGCTCATGAAGTGATATATATCTTATAATGATAATTGATAATGTTATCGCGCGAGATATAATCTTGCAACATATCACACGATTAATTTATATTATAATTTATATTATAATTTATATTTATATAATCCGCAAGTTGTCATACATATATTACACATTCCATCAAATCGCGGGGTTGGACCGATTGAAAAGCCAGAATAAACGACGAACGTTCGCTCGAACAGAGACAGAAATAGAGAAGCGTCCCCGACACACGAACGAGCGATTAAACACAAAAGGATAAGACGACTGCAAATTACTGCACAATCTTGAGCAGCATAACAGCGATATACCGGAATACGAGGGTTGATCCAGAAATAAGGTTCCCATCAATTTTACAAATAGACAACATTGTTTATTCTCATAGAAATTTACATCGTTGGAAAGATGAAACTTTGCTCTATTTTTCTACGCATTTTTGTAGACGGTGCTCCAATTTTTGTTTCCCAATATCGTAAAACTCCGCCGCCAACCCGTTGAGGAAGCGTTTCACCTCTTCATCGTCGCTCCGGAAGCGTTGGCCACCCAAGTGTTCCTTTAACTTGGAGAACAAGTGATAATGTGAACACTTGGGTGGCCAATGCTTCCGGAGCGACGATGAAGAGGTGAAACGCTTCTTCAACGGGTTGGCGGTGGAGTTTTATGACATTGGGATACAGAAATTGGAGCACCGTCTACAAAAATGCGTAGAAAAATAGAGCAAAGTTTCATCTTTCCAACGATGTAAATTTCTATGAGAATAAACAATGTTGTCTATTTGTAAAATTGATGGGAATCTTATTTCTAGATCAACCCTCGTACATCATGTAACGTAAGAAAGTGATACGTGCTGTCTCGTTTAAGGATGAGCTGAAGATTAAAAAATTAATTTGTCAAACATGATGTTTGTATTAACGCTCGTTACTTGAAATTGTCTCTTATTTCAGATTTAAGTTTAAAATTAGACATGAGTTTCTCAGTTAATAATGCCACGATATTTTTAGCTTCTGCGATGTGGAAAAATGATTAACTTCATTCCTTCAGTTAGTACCGCGTCTTTCACGGAGAGTTCCCTCTACTTGAGGAAGTGCATTGGAATGTACACATGAAGCGTCGGGATTATCCCGGAAGCCAAATTAAGCAATGGTGTCACACGTGTGATTATACGTGTATATAAAATTCACATGAGACGTTAGTTTTTTTTTTTTCAGTTAATAATGTCACGTATATTACATGACTTACACACAGATTTAGGTGTAGGACTAAAAAGGACGTTCATCAAAGTCCAATTAAGTTAATCACAACGATTTAAAATTGTTATTAGTCTCAAATGTTCTATCTTGCTAATATAGATGGAATTTATTAATCTCGATTATTGTCGAACGACACATTACAAAATTGAAAATTGGTGATTGGTATTTCTTATTATTATCGGTTGATTAATTGGGAGTTGCTTAATTGGGATGCTTAATTGGGATGTTGATTAATTGGGAGTTTGGTAAAAGTCACTTTAAATTCTGACCTCTTATGTGAGGCTGATTTGATATCGCAACTACGAATACAGGTCAACATCAACTCAAGTGAGATATACTTACATTGGTCAATTGACCGAAGTCCAACAGTTCATAATCCGACAGTTTATACGGGTCATTAGGATAGGTTTCTTTCAACAAAGGTGTCCGTTCTCCATGTCTCATTATCTGTGGAACGCAGGAAATTATGCCATTATCGTTGATAATTTCATTTTAACCGTTCCCTTAAATTTGATATCTGTGTATGTATGCGTATGCTACAACTTCTTGTATTAAAAATACCGTGTTCTCTGTTTTGCATTATATCATAATATTATATTTATTATATA